TAAGCTCTTTCACTTCTATTTTTAGCCAAACATTGTACAGGTGGGCTGGCATTAACCTACCTCTTGCGTTTATAGGCTACTGAAGGAATGTAGTGTTAGCACAGTGCTGAAAATTTCTGTTTCCACTTTTCAAAATGAAAGTAGCACTCTCAGTGGGTAGACATACCCTTTACATTTTCACCTTTTTTTGATCCTGTTCTTTACAAATGGACACATCAGTTTATTTTCACTCTTTATCAGTTCTGAGTGTGTTCAATCATAGGTTCATCCATCCCAAGTTTTGTACATTTAAAAAAACCAACCAACCACGAAACACTTAAACTGGTCACATTATATAGGCATTTTGCATGCAGTCTTCCCCCTTCCTTTTGTATACTTTCTAATGCATTTCCCCCCTAAAATGGATTGTTTTTTTGGACTAAAAACTGCAGCACAAGAACCAAAATCTATAAGCAAGTCTGGCAATATAGGTCACTTTGCTTCAGTATTTGGACTAAATGGATTACTCATCCATCCCTGCTATCCATGGGCACTTGCCCCCCCCCCCCAATATGATGCTTCTTCAATTACCATTTATGGGTCTCTCCTTTCCAGAGTGATCCCAGCCAATCAGCGACAATATAATAAACACGATGATTTCATGATGCTGTAATCCCAGTTTGGGTAGCTAGCTACAAAGCCACCTGATGGAGGGCAACACAACTAAGTCAGAGAGGGCAGTATGTCCTGGACTAGTTACACGGGTTATCCTGGTCAATCAGAAAATATGCACTAAAATGATGTCACTTAGGGAAAATGGATTCCCGTTTAGGAAGTCCTTTCCTGAATATAGGAACATTTGTTGCCTTTTGTCTTACCCTAAAAAATAGTAAGAGAATATTCTTTCAATGCTGATTAAAGTGTCACAAAAGCTGCCCTTTCTTTTGGTTCAGACATACAGTGGTACCTCGGGTTACGTACTTAATTCGTTCCGGAGGTCCGTTCTTAATCTGAAACTGTTCTTAACGTGAAGCACCACTTTCGCTAATGGGGCCTCCTGCTGCCGCCGCGCCGCCGGAGCACGATTTCTGTTCTCATCCTGAAGCAAAGTTCTTAACCTGAAGCACTATTTCTGGGTTAGCGGAGTCTGTAACCTGAAGCGTAGGTAACCTGAAGCGTAGGTAACCTGAAGCGTATGTAACCTGAGGTACCAGTGTAATGATGACTTGTAGGACAGCGAGTAATGGGAAATGGTTTGCATGCACCAGGGAGTATCAAAATGAACAAATAGCCCTGAAGAACATAGCATTCTGGTGGCCATGTGTACTTGTGCTAAGTATAATGAAGCCAGATAAAGAACCAAAAGCAAGCTCAGATACCTTTTTCAAAAACTCCCAACTGTACATCCACATTAACTGCTTCACTTCTTCAGCATCTACACACCCCTTTCAAGAGCAATTTGACAACTTTCATTAGTCACCTTTCATGTGCATTTCATATTAGGGAATCAATGCTGTGGTTATCCAATGTTCCCTTGTATTGATGAATCAACTAGAATTCCTAACAGTTTACATGCTTGTCGCATGTCTCCCAACAATCTGACACAGCCCAATTTACACACAGTGGTGGATCTTTTGTGCACTTCTTGCGGATATGATTCAGATAGCAGATATTTCCCGAATAGCAAAAGCACACTTTATTCTTACATTTGAAAAGGTTTGTTTTCAGATTGTGTAAGAGCCAGAATACCCTCTAAGGCAACCTTTTCCAGCCGTGGGCTGGTTCACTGTCCCTCAGACCATGTGGTGGGCCGGACTATATTTTTTTTTTGGGGGGGGGGGAATGAACGAATTCCTATTACCCACAAATAACCCAGGGATGCATTTTAAATAAAAGCACACATTCTACTCAAGTAAAAACACACTGATTCCCGGACCGTCTGCGGGCCGGATTGAGAAGGCGATTGGGCTACATCCGGCCCACAGGCCTTAGGTTGCCTATCCCTGCTCTAAGGAGCTTAGCCCCACGGGTTCAAGTGCATTTGGAAGGGAACATAACTCAGTGACAGAGCACATGCTTTTGCAAGTCTCTGGTTCAATTCCTGACACCACCAATTAAATAAAAGATCAGGTACCAGATATGGAGAAAGCCACATGGATCTAAGGACACAGTATAAGGAAGCTTCCTAAGAAAGCAGCCCACAGCACTGACTTAGATAGATTCAATAAGCAAATGGGCACGTATGGACTATTCTCTGATATAGAGAATAGCCTCCTCTATGAGTCTGTGACGCGGATGCGGGTGGCGCTGTGGGTTAAAGCCTCAGCGCCTAGGACTTGCCGATCGAAAGGTCAGCGGTTCGAATCCCCGCGGCGGGGTGCGCTCCCGTTGCTCGGTCCCAGCGCCTGCCAACCTAGCAGTTCGAAAGCACCCCCGGGTGCAAGTAGATAAATAGAGACCGCTTACTAGTGGGAAGGTAAACGGCGTTCCGTGTGCTGCGCTGGCTCGCCAGATGCAGCTTGTCACGCTGGCCACGTGACCCGGAAGTGTCTGCAGACAGCGCTGGCCCCCGGCCTATAGAGTGAGATGGGCACACAACCCTAGAGTCTGTCAAGACTGGCCCGTATGGGCAGGGGTACCTTTACCTTTACCTATGAGTCTGTACTTTGAATTCATGAACAGTTCTCTAATAGCACAGGATTTATTGGCATCAACTTAATTGCAATATTTTTAGTCAGATGAGCAACGCAGAGACTATAGTATATATTTTATTATCACCATTAAATGTAATTCAAATGTTTTACTCCTTCCAATACTAAACTAGGTAATTAAGCACCTATCAGTCAGGAAGCAAAATGAGGCCACCCAAAAATAAAATAGTGGTTTCCCTGCACTTGGGGAAACAGGTATGCAGAAGTGTATTAGTTTGCATATTTCTTTTAAATGGTCCTGAGAGTTTCTAGGACATACAGAATGCTGAATGCATACAGGCAAAAACTTTCCTTTCCATCTCCAAATCTGAAGCACCACTACAAGGGTCTTGATTCACACTGACTGGAGCCCCAAACAATAGCATTTCAGCTATCAACAGGGATATTGCATGTTTTCTAAAGCTGGTGTCGACCTGTCTTTTCTTAAAACAAAAACCGCAGAGGAAAGATTGACTCCAAATTCTACTAGTGATTTTTAAAATCATTTTTAAAATCACTTCAAACTCTTGAAGAAAAACTATAATTACTGACGAGAAGTTGGTGACATGGTGAGTGAGAATCTGATGTTCTAGAGCTTATATCTTCAGTTTTACGAAACTTTAGCAGAGAGGAAACCCAGGATTTTCGGAAAAAAGAGAGACATCTTGGAGAATGGATCCTCATTGCACCAGTGATCACAGGATACTTTTTCAGGTCCTCAGTGCTCTATGATATCTAATATCTGCCAAAGGATATCATTTGCCTGCGCATCAAAATTAAAATCTGAGCAACTGGACCATATTTAAACTTCTTTCAGGATCCAAGGAGGAACAAGCCTTGGTAATGGGGAAACAAGAAAAGATAGAAAAATGAACCATCTATAATGCTGGAAAGAAAAGGGCTGTGGTGATAGCAAAGCAAAGAGACATAATAAAGAGCCAAGAAGTTCATATGGGACACAGTGGGGAGAGAAACACTGTGCAAGCTGAAGTCCTTCTGCTGACTGGACCTATCAGTTGAATCACATTCATCACATTTATAGTAATTATTTCTGAAATTCTACCTATACATATACATTAGCATATGCAAATCCATGTGAGGTTTTTTTTAATTATTAACAATGTGTTAAGTTTCAGAGGGGACCAAGTTGCGGAGGAGGGCTAGGTGACTAACAAAAGGCTCAAACATCCTTTCAATCCTACATGCTTTTCTTCAGGAGGGGAGGAGCAGCCTCCTCAGCCCCCACGTTGCCTACAACTGGAAAACATCCCCACAAGCAATAAGCTTATTTAATACCAGTACTTCTTTCTCAAAGCCATTTAGAACAGAGGTACCATGTTCTGTGCTTCTCTAAGCACATAGCTCCAAAACCGCCCCTTACTGAGAAGCAAGCATGCCTGCACTTTAAGCAGGTCAACAGAAGTGTAGTAATGGCAACAAAAGATGCTGGGTAGAATCCAATGCAGTGCTAAGTCTCTTGTTCCACTGGCGCACGGATTTTTTTTTGCGGAACGGAACATTTCCCCCCCCCACACACAGGGGGAGTGCTATTGTGCAAACAAAAATCATTGCACTGATGGGATGCAGTTGTTAATACCATCCACAGACACAACAAAGACAGCTTGGAGCAGCTCCAAATTTTGGAGATTTCAATTAGAAATTGTGGCTGGGCCCTTAGCTAAAGCTGGTTACAGATGCCTGGTTACAGCAACACCTTTGTCAATGTTGTATTTCCATACATGATGTTTTCCCCACTTAAAAAAAAAGAAAATCTCAATATTTTCCTTCAGTAAGATTCTGTATTTCCTTACCATCCTGTAAGCATAAACTGCCAAAACTGAATAGCATAGACATATCTACTCCAGGAAAGTAAAAAACTAACTATCCTGTTGGGTTGGATTAGTCCAGTTGTGGATGACTCTGGGGTTGCGGCACTCATCTCATTTTACTGGCTGAGGGAGCCGGCGTTTGTCCGCAGACAGCTTCCGGGTCATGCGGCCAGCATGACTAAGCTGCTTCTGGCGAACCAGAGCAGCGCACGGAAACGCTGTTTACCTCCCCGCTGGAGCGGTACCTATTTATCTATTTGCACTTCGTGCTTTCGAACTGCTAGGTTGGCAGGAGCAGGGACCGAGCAACGGGAGCTCACTCCATCGTGGGGATTCAAACCACCAACCTTCTGATCGGCAAGCCCTAGGCTCTGTGGTTTAGACCACAGCGCCACCCGCTGATGGGAGTATTAAATGTATTCCCCCTCCCCTTTACATCTTAACCTCTGCATTTCATTGTTTTTGGATTTTTTAAAAAAGCTATAGTTAGTTTTTTGTGCTGTTTTTAACTGGAGTTGTGATTTTCAATGTTTTAATGCATTTGCTGCTGCATTGAACATGAGCATTGTTATGAAAATTAAACAGCTGCATGTTTGACTGCAAAAATTCATGCATTTATCTCAGCCAAGACCTTTAAATTGATGGAAATAAATGTATGCTTTATTTAGTACACATTTATATGCACTTTTATTACTTTACATCATGGGTGAGGAATTGGATCTGACTAGTAGGCCAGATTGTTATCTCCCTCAGCCCACCACCCACAGGCCAAGTCTGACAGGTGGATGAGGCGCCCTAGCTGTTAATCATCTGATGCTTTGACATCAGGTGACCTGTTTTTGCTCACAACTTACTTTCAAACCATGTGGGTAAAGGTGTAGCCCATGAAAAGCACTATGAGGGGCTTTGCTATGCATAGTGCTCCGTAAGTGCAGCAATCAGCTGTGCATAAGTGCAACACAGTTTCACAAGCCTCTTGCATAGCATGTCAGAAGCCTGACAGCTACATCCTTACCTGTCCTACAACTGGCATCATATAATGGCACTGGTGGGTGTTGCTTGGCTACAGTGGCCTGGTGGACCTAATTATGCCTGTGGACCAAAAATGCCCTACGCTGGGTTCATGTTAATGAAAGTATTTTTTTGGCAGAATTCAAATAAGAGTAATTTCCATTCACCATTTGCTCCATCTTGTCACCATGTGTAACTTTGTGGGACAGCAGCAACACTTACAACTAATTCTATTTTAGAGTCGCTTGACGTCTGGCAGAAAAACACCTGTGACTACTCCAACAAATAGGATACTTTATCCCATATATACTTTGAAGTCCTGAATCAGGTGATCCAGCATGTACTACGCACCATTCTTCCCTAAGTCTCTGGGGCTGTTTGCATGCCATGTATTTAACTCTACAGTAGTTTTAATGTCTGTCTGCACTGAAGTGGACAGGAAAGGGAAACACAAGAAATGTTGCATGCTTACACAAGCTTTGAAATCTAGCTTGGGATTGTAAATTTTCCATCTATCCATGCTTCTAAAGGTCCAATCCCAAGCTTCATGATAAACTGAAGAACTGATCTGTTACAAAAATATGCAGTGTTTCAAAAGTACAAATACACAAAGGTTATTCGGTGCTTAGCATGAGAAAATTGCTGTTACATCATTTTCACTTTTCAGGTCGTTCCATGGTTGGGTATGATTTACAACAAACATGAGGACCAAGTGGAGAAAAGTGAGGTAAAAAGCAAAAGAGCTTTCAAAAGTAAAAATTTCAGAAATTGTGGGTTTCAGAGGTAAACTAGCTCAGTTCTTCCTTGCCTGAGAAACTGTTCAAGAACAATTATATCTGCTTATCATTTTCAAAATGCCATTTCTGAAAATCACATTTGTAGGGAGTGCAAAAACTTATCAGCTGTACTCCATAAATAAGACCAAGATAGCTTATTTTAAAAGTGAACAAGCACAAGCCCCCGAGGTTAAATTTCATTGAATGCCAAGACTGCAATCCCCACTGAACTCAATGGAGTTAGTTCTGAACAAACAATGCTATAAGAGTAATAACCAGGAAACAAAGAAAGTCAAGTTTTATTATTAAATAATCTGACTGATGTCTTAAAACAGCTTACATATTTAAAAAAATAAGTCTACTGGCTTAATCACTTGTGATTTGAAACAAGAGGTTTTAGATGAATAATCCAAATATACGCTTTGTTTAAAGTAGTTCTGATTATGAGGACATGATTTTACGTTAATTATAGGAACTATGCAAAGTGTTACTGATGACTTACAGGTTTATGAACTGCAACAGAATCAGAACCATGCCTATCAGATGTCGAGATAATTTATGTATGTTCAAATGTAGTCACTGAGTGAAGATCAATTTTAACCAACAGAATTTACTTTCCGGGGATTGTCAATGCATTTTCCTAAGAAACTGCAAAATACTGGATGGACTGTCAGCTGTAATATTCCATGTGTATTCGTGGTCAATATGAGTTAGCTTATTTTAAACAGAATGAAACAACATATTATAATTAATCCTCATGCAGTGATGTCAAAGTATTGAGTTGTAGGAGAATAATTTTATTGATCAATTAAACTTGCAAAATATTTTCTCTACCTATTTGGGAATCTGGAATATATTTCCTATTATAACACCACATCACAGTCAAAATTAACATGCTAAAAGCCATTATGCCATCAGTGAAAGAATACTGCCAGTTGCTTCACTTGATTGTGTCATATTACTAAGAAAGCCCTTAGCAATTTCAACCTAAAATGCAAAATATCTGCTATGTGTGGGTACAAAATAACAGGGAAGAAAGATCTGTCCAGCAACACTTCCTCAACGTTACTAAACAATCTGGGTGGGAAACTTTAGTTTGCCATTAAAGCTGATGATCTAATTGACAGATTAGTCACTACATAATTCCACTTACTAAAGCTATTGACTCTAGCTAGCATCACAAAGAACAAAACAGATCCTTTCAACTAGAAGACTCAGAGACCAGACTTGGATCCCAATTTTTGAATTTTGTCTCAACAGAATGCCACAACTCAGACTAATTTAACCATAACTAAAACCTTTGGTTGAAAACATACATATTGTTGAATAATAAAAGGCAGGAGTCTTGTCTTTCTTACTTAGCCTATTCCAATAATAAGCGACAGTACTCACAAATATACCATTCTGTATGCAATTGTATTGATGTATAGATTCTAATCAGTTAAATACTAATACCAGTGTTGCTACATTCATTATTTTAACTGCTAAAGTCTTAAAGACCTGCAGAATTGCCTAACACAGCTCATCACTTAGGCCAAACTTTCTATCCAGAATCTAGCACTTGACAAACATCCAGACCGATGGAATCTGGATAACACCAGTTCCAGCAAGAATATTTAACAATCTTTCTCCCAAAATAGGGAAAGGCAAAGACATTCAACCTATTACATTATTCCAGATTAGCACACAAAAACCCTTCAGGATTACATGCAGGATCACACTGGTGTGTCAATAAAAGTGACCCAATTCCTTCACTACAATTTGAAAATTACCTTAAAATGTGAAAGTCCAATGAATCTGAATCCATTTTAACAGCCAGACCATCAACAGTCTGGAGCATTTTTAATGTATATCAACAGACAATAGTGTACAGGTTTCCATTCTGGAATGAAAGATAGAGAACTCAAGCTTTCCTAAGCAGCAATGTAACTGTAAATTGGATTTCCCTTCCCATATAGCAATTACTAAACATCATGGCAACAAAAAGATACCTTCTATTAATGGCTGTGTTCTAGTTATTCATGGACTCTTTTCAAGTATTGCATTATTTCAACTTCTTAGGGGGAAAAGTTAACTTTGTAAGACCTGCCAGATAAGCATTGCTTCTCCCTCTATTTTCTACATAAAATGTTAGTTTACTGCAACACTCTCAACGTTATTATTAAAAGGTGGGATCCAAATAGCATTGCTTTGCTAATAGAAGACATCTGTCAGAAAATGGAAGACAATTTGTGGTGGTTGCTCTTCCCCCCATCAGTCTGCACTGCCTCCCTAATTTGGTCTAGAGGGTTTCCCAATCTTCTTGAACAGACTTTAGGATTATGCAGGAAGAGGGAATTGTCTCAAATAGCCTTCCATTCTACTGATAAATGTCAGGGAAGTAATACTGAGTTCCACCCATATTCTTTTACCAGGTTGTATTGTGAGAGGATGAATAAGAAATGTAGAAAATAAAGTTTGCTTTTTTAAAAAAGAAAGGACCATATGACAGTACGATGCCAACCTGTCTATTTTTTGGCAACTAACAGGTCCTAAAAATATTTTCATCTTTTAGTACAAAGAATCACATTTTTGGGGCTGCATTAAATTTTTAGAAACTGGTCTGCTAAAAATATAAACTACTAGATGGTAGTACCTAATATTTAAGGAGCTCGACAACCAGATACCTGGGATTTTTTTGCAGCCTCATCTAACAGATATAAGATGCATAACTAATCAAATGGACAGATTAGTGCTATTTACTGGCATGGTAGCCATTTTAGTAATAGAGCAATCTTATGCATGACTACTCAGAAGAAAGTTTCACTGCTAGGTAAGCATGTATAGGATTGATGCCAGGATGATCTGAAGTGGCCAGCTATTTGTTATAAGCTAATAGTGTTTTGTTTCATTTTGTTCTTAAAGAGATTCAATTATGTTTTGGGCAACAACCATGGACCAGATATTCACTGCAAGAAGATAATGACAAAGTATTTTAATGCTACCACTTTCTACCCAGAACACTATAACTATTACAAAAAAAGGACAATTCAAACATTTTCTTCAATATTTGCTTCAAACATAACCACACTTTTTTAAAAAACCCCCAGCTAAAATCTTACTTTACACCCTCCCTTCAGAGCATATTGGACTCCACCTTCTAAAGCAATCATAATTTAGAAAAGCAAATGTTAATTTGATTTAACCTGTCACATCAGCTTTTATCATCTTCTTGCTATCTAAAGAAGGTGAAAGACAATTTTTCATTTTATAACCTAATTCCATTTCAGTTTTATTTAACTGTCTACATTATTCTGTGAGTGTGTGCACATACACAATCACACACAGAAGCAGTGGTATCTACATACAGTTTTACACAAATATTTACATACACATGTTATACACAAACTAATGCGATTCCATGATTTACTTTTAAGTAGAAAGGCATATGCTTTTGTAGCATATTTAATTGTTGCACTGGTCTTACAAGAGTACTATAAACCTTTTGCAACAATTAGCTAAAGCACATTTCATTCAGGATTTTATAGATTGTATATAAAAAATACAATACCTAGAATGCTTATCAAACAAATAATGCTTTATTGGCATCTAAAAAAAACATTAAAATGTTAATTTTTCAATTTTTTTAACCCACTGCAGTACGAGCAACAAATCACAGACACGTACTTTTGAGAAATAAGAGACTATAATGCAGAAATATCAAGAACACACCATTCTCTGTATTATTTATGTTCCTTTTTTCTTTTTGGCCAAACTGTAGGAACATATAGTATCACAGCTCTGCCTATGCTTTAAAATTCTGCAGCAGCCTAAAAACCTGGACAAGATACACCAGCACCTGTTTTCAAGTATAACAATTTCCATGGCCAACCTAATAGCAATATCTAAAAATTTCCATTTCTTCCATAGGAAGTCTTTGTTTGTTTGACAAGCTGTTATTTATCCTTGTGAAGTAAAAGCAAGTGGGGCAAGTTTGCGTTTTGTCAGAAAAAAGAAAAAAGAAAAGAAGGAAAGTTTACCTACCATGTTCAAATTAAGAACAATTTTCTATACAGGTCAGTTGTACAGCTATTTAAGTGAAAGATGAACATGAACATTAGATTAACTTAATTCTGGCAGACAAAAGTGAACTACTAAGGTCCAGTCAGCAATTCATCTATTACAGAGAGAGATGACAACTTTACAAAAGGTATCTTTTTACCTACTGAGTGATGATTATGTCCCCTCAGTTTCTGTGCTTTCTACCACTGGTTCACTTTCTAATTCAGCTTCTGTGTCACTCTTCTCTTTTTTTGTGTCACTTGAAGTTGCCAGCTTTTCATAAAGTTCTGGTTCACCCTGTACTTGCGCTGCAGGTGGCTGACTCTCTGTCTCTGCATTTTCACCATTAACTTGGGGCACACTGTCAGTCTTTTGTTGAGATGTGCCACCTTCAAAAAATTCAAATGCTCTTGGATGTGGAGGGGGTATCCAGTTGTTCTGTATTCTCTCTCTCCCAAATCTGTTTCCATTAATTTCTCTGCCAAAATTAAAATCTCTGTCATCCCTGTCCCTCTGCCTTTCCCAAGGTCTTCGGCGATCATCAAAGTCTCTGTGAGTGTCTTGCTCAAGTCCCCGGTTCCAAGCTGGGCCACTTCGATTTTCAAATCTGTAGTTTGTTTGACGATACCTTTCTCGGTCTTCCTGGAAGCCTTTAAGACCACCAAATGTAGGAAATGAATGATGCTCTCTTTCATCAAAATCTCCTCTTTGTCCCCAGTGCTTATCTGAATTGAAAGCAAAATGGTCTCTCCTACCAAGTCCTTCCATGCCTGGTCTTCCAAAGTTTTCTCTTAAATCTATGTGTGGCCTGGCAAGATGTTCTCTTCCATCTACTGGAGGTCTTCCTAGACTTTCTCTTGGATCTAGTGGTGGCCTTCCAACTGAATCCCTCATATCCACTGAAGAGGTCCGATTAATGTTCTCCCTATTTTCCACTGGAGGAAAGCGATAGTCTCTATCTCCTTCTTGCTGAATGCTGTCATCTCCAAGTGCCAACCTTTTATCTGGATTAGACATGTTATCAACACTTTGTCTACCGGTAGTTCCAAATGGTCTCTCTGTTTGAGTAAACAAATCTCCTGAAAGGAAAGCTCTAGGCGGAGGAAGGGATGGGTCAAGGATTGCTGGAGGAGGAATGCTATGCTGTAGTGGTATTCCAGGCTGCAGGAGAGGAAATCGTGGCCCAGGGGGCTGTGGCATTAGTCCTGAGCGGATATCTACTAGAGGCATTCCAGGCAACCTTTGACTAGCAATAGTTAAATGGGGTACATTTTGAATTCCAGCATGTGGCTGTAACCCTAAAAGTCCAGAGCCACTTGAAATATTTGGTGGTGGTAATCCTAATAGTCCAGAACTACTTGAGACAATCGGTGGTGGCAATCCTAGAATCCCAGAGTTGCTTGATACAATAGGTGGTTGGAGTGCTGCCAAAAGCCCAGAACTACTTGACACAATAGGTGGCTGGACTCCTGACAAAAGCCCAGAGTTACTTGACACTATGGGTGGCTGGAGTCCCATTAGAAGGCTGGAGCTGCTTGAGACAGTCATGGGCTGGAGTCCTGCCAGAAGTCCAGAGCTGCTTGAGACACTTGGAGGCTGGACACCCGTCAAAAGCCCAGAGTTGCTTGAAGCATTAGGTGGCTGAACTCTTGTCAAATGTCCAGAGCTGCTTGACACACTGGCTGGCTGCACAAGCCCAGAGCTACTTGAGACACTAGGTGGCTGTATTCCCCCTACAAGCCCCGAACTGGTTGAGACACTTGGTGGCTGCATTCCCCCAGTAAGTCCAGAACTGCTTGAAACATCATCTGGAACTGAAAGGCAAATACAAAAATTTAAGTCAGCAGAAAAAAAAGAGTACATACTATGAAATAATTAGATTAAACCAAGATCAACATTTATCAGTTGGTTTCTTATCTGTTTGAAATCATATTTGTAAAAAGTAAACCCAGCTTCTCAAATTTGGGCACAGACTGAATTAAGCAGGATTTGAAATAATAATAATAATACTCCTAAAATATTTTAACCGGGGTGTCACACAATCAAAATCAAAAGAGGAGATATTTCCCTGTCTACCTAGTCATGTGAGCTGAGATAAAATATAAAAGAATACAGAAAGCGATTTAAAATTTTGGTGCCATTCTTTGTAAAATGCCAACATGGAACAACAAATACACATGAATGCTACTGAAAAGGCCTGTAATGCTAATGAAAGTAACATGTACTCTGATCTTATTGTAGAACACTCCAGAATGTAGGAAACAACAGGAACTATCTTCCGTATGAGATAGCATGGAGCTCTAGACATTATGAATCCATCTTTTACTCCTCCAGGGAAAAGAAGCAAAATGTTTCTTGGTCTCAGAAAAACACAGTGTTTCAGCAGCTGTATCTGCATCTGTTGCACATTCAAAACCAACATGTCATGTAGAAAGCTAAGCTATGCACTGTGAGTTTTAAAATCAGGGGACATTTTATTATTTGATTAGCACCTTACAATATGTGGCCTTGGCACCAGTAGCTACTCCAATAACTACCCCTTTAGAATACCCATGTAGTTGGTAAATGACCACTCTAGTTGTACAAACTTTATGAGTAAAGTTTCATTGGGCTACTTACCAGCTCTGTTTTCACTTGATGAAATCTGAAGATCTGCAAGATGGGATCCCTTTTCATCTAAATCTGACTTGTTACTTGACAGAGGAGTAAAAACACTTCCAGAAGATAAAGTTGGGGTAGTAAGACTACTAGAAACAGTGCCAACTGGTAGAGCAAGGTTGCTATAATCTTTCATTGACTCTTGAGCAATTGGTAGCGAAGACTGTACAAGAGCTGTAAAACAGAACACACATACAACTTCTTACAATCCTATGCATGCCTACCCACAATGAATTCCCAGTATATTCAATGGGATTTGCTCCCTAGTATAAGTGTTAAAGATGGCAGCTTATGTTGCAGTATCCCAGTGAATTCTTTTCACATAGGTGTATGGGCAAATGATGTAATAAAAAAATCTGGTAATCCTAAACTATAGACAGTAATCACTAAATATACTATTTGCAGTATTATCAAGCTACCATTTACAGCAGCACAAAATGAACACACATTTACTTTGCCTTCACCTTACAAGAAAACAAATCATTTAAAAAAACAGTTTGCTGTCACAGTAGCTATAACAGAGGCTGGCAGGTTTCTCCTGAGCTACAACTATTTACATTGATCTGTACAATTTTTAAAAAGGACATATTCCCATATAAATACACAACAATTTTTTTAAAAAAAATTCTCATCAGTAGCTCCCTCCAACAAACATACCAAATGTATTTTAAGTTGTCCTCTAAATGTAGGAGCCATTTTGGAGTTTGGTGAAAGGGACACAAGAAGGAAAGATATAAACTAACTTACGGGTTGGAACTACCGGCGGTGGAACAGGTGGTGGAACTGGGGGAGGCAAATAACCTAGAAGAAACAAAGAATAAATCTGAATAGACAAAGCTAGCAAAAGTGATCTGAATAACTTATTTGTATAGAAGACAGCATTCACTGCATACAGTCGTACCTTGGTTTTCGAACACCTTGTCTCGAATGTTTTGGCTCCCGGATGCCACAAACCTGGAAGTGAGTGTTCTGGTTTGTGAACTTTTTTGGGAAGCCGAACATCCAACGTGGCTTCTGATAGAGTGCAGGAAGCTCCTGCAGCCAATCGGAAGCCGCCTCTTGGTTTCCGAACATTTTTGGTAGTTGAACGGACTTCCGGAATGGATTCCGTTCGAGAACAAAGGTACAACTATATTTGCAAACTGGGGAATCTGCAAGTGCTCAACTGAATTAAGATTATGAGCAAGCAGTATTATTTAAACCAATATATTCTGTTTTGCATCTTTTGCGTTTTAAAGTGCAGTTGTAAGGGTTTTTTTATTTTATTGTTTCATCTTCTTGTAAACTGCTTTGAGGTGTATAAATTTTATTGAAATAAAGGAGTATCATTTACACATTACAAGTTAAATAATCATAGGTCAGTTAACTCCAACAGCCCATCCTATGTATGTCTACTTAGAAGCAAATCCCACAGGATTCAATGAGGTTTACATCCAAGTATGGATCTTTTAATTAGAACAATCTATGTGAATTTACGGGATGCAGGTGGCACTGTGGGTAAAAGCCTCAGCGCCTAGGACTTGCCGACCGAAAGGTCGGCGGTTCAAATCCCCGTGGCGGGGTGCGCTCCCGTTGCTCGGTCCCAGCGCCTGCCAACCTAGCAGTTCGAAAGCACCCCCGGGTGCAAGTAGATAAATAGGGACCGCTTTCTAGCGGGAAGGTAAACGGCGTTTCCGTGTGCGGCTCTGGCTCGCCAGAGCAGCGATGTCACGCTGGCCACGTGACCCAGAAGTGTCTGCGGACAGCGCTGGCCCCCGGCCTCTTGAGTGAGATGGGCGCACAACCCCAGAGTCTGTCAAGACTGGCCCGTACGGGCAGGGGTACCTTTACCTTTACGTGAATTTATGCATAAATTTATGTCTTAATTATATAAAGGTAACTTACCAGGAGGTGGGTGTGAAGGATTGAAGCTTGCTCTCATGAAGGGAGGTGGAGGAATTGGACTATAGCCAGGAGGAGGGACAGACATTGTAACAGGAAATGTTGGTGGTACTAAACTAACTGCTGGCACAGATGGAGCTACAGGAATCTGTTTAGGAGGAAAGTAAAGTATGTCTTCAATATTTACATAATCCCATTATTTTAAGGCTATGCAGATTTACTTCCTCTGGAAAACATGCCTAGTATTGGGATGTATAAGTAATAATTAGAATCAAAATCTACACAATGACAACAGTAACTATGGTCTTCCAAAATGTGAATTAAAGGCTGTTAAGCCTGCTCCATCTTGCAGTGTCACTTCTTACTAAATCTACTGTACACTGCTCTGATCTCCTCCACTGAACAGAGTGATCTGGGACTTTGGGTCCCCTACTCTGTCACTTAACAGCCAACCAGCACTATTGTACTGTATCAATATTGCCTAAAAATCATGTCTGATTGGCTGAAATTTCCCAATATTTTGGAGCTTAAGTGAATACAGAAAGTCCTTAACACAAAAAGCTAACTCAAAGGTATTTTGGTTAATTGAAAGAAAGAAATGACTAAGTAAGAGAAAAAGAGATCCCTGAAATAATTAAGCAAAAACATAAACAATTAAACTCACAAAAACAAACTCCCAGATCTGATGAGACCCCGCAGTGAGCAGAGCAGAATCTAATAACATACAACCGGCAGGGAATATTGCCTTTTCAGCATTAGTGTACAATGAAAAATCACAGGAAATCCAATTTTCAAACTCATCCAGAGAGAAAATAGGAACTGGATGTCTAAAAGCAACCACTTATCCTTAGAGGTTCAGAGGAGATTCTTGTCACACTTGCCTACCACCTATGTGTCAGTTTCTGTTTCCCTCACTGAGCAGCAGCTGCAAGTCATGGGACTATGTTTTCATTCCACAGTGCAGATACTGTTGGATTCTCACGGGAAAGGGAGACTGGATGTGACGTTCACTGGTTTCCTGTTTCTTTGTTCTTTCGTTTCTTTGGGAGTTGCTCTCTGCTTCTCACAGAGACAAGATGTATATTTGTATGCTCTCAGCATAGTTTAGAAATAAAGCTTGGCAATGTAGCACCATACCTGCTTCATCCTTTCGTTTGCGGACTCTGGGGTGTTTACTCTGCTGGGCTCAAGATGAGCCATATCAGCTCAAGGGCCGGAGCTGAATAAAACTAACACTATGTGCTTAGAGCTCGACTCTACTGAAGGATTTCCTCTGGTCCATTTTGTGGTGATTGTCAAGAGGCTGAAATAAGTGCCCATGCTAATGACTGTGAGTGGGACCTCCACACAGAAAAGGACAATCATAATCTTTCAGCACTGAAAGAATCATCACCTGGATGCTAGGCCTGCTTTCGGACTTAGGGATGCATATACTAAATAAATATCTCTTCAGACCATCTTAAACCTGCAGCATATTTTAGGGTGTTATTGGGTTGTTATTTTTATTTTGATTGTATATATTGTGATTTTTATGTTGATCTTTTATGTGACCTGCTCTGAGACCTCTGGGTATAGGGCAGTACAACCTTTAGACATAAAAATGGTTCAAAGTGTATAGTTAGTGTCACTTTACATTGCATAGACAATAAAAGATACTCGTAATTATGGAGTACTAATAATTGGGTGTTTCTTCAACTCACAGCTAACTAGAGCATTGGGAAAGTGAGCATGCAGGGAGAGAGATTTACTGTAAATCAGGGCTGGCAAAATGCTAGTCCATGAGCCTATTCTGGCAGCCTTCTAGCCCCTGATCAGACAGCAGCTCTAAACAAAGCACCGCTTCTCACCACCAGTGAACAGATAGGAATGCTCCAGAAACAAGAAGGAGCACAATGATGTGATCCATGTTACCTGGGTGCTCAGCAAGCTCAGGAAGCATTGGAGGAGACTGTTATACACCTTCCTGTTTCTGGAGCATTCTGATCTGCCCACTGGTGATGAGCACAAGGGGTTTCATTCTGTGTCATCAAAGCTAGAGTGATTTTGATCCCGATCATCCTTGGGGGAAAGTGTGTTGAGTTGGAGGTGAGTTAATTCTGACTTATAAATTATAATGGAAGATGGGGGGGGATGGAATGTCCACTGTCTCTATTTGGGGGGCTTACTCTACTGTCATCCCCTATCCCCTGGCAGCAGGTCGTTCCCCACTGCTGCTGGGGAGATTGGGAGCCCTCATTCTTTGCCAGACTGGCTATATCAGTGGTCCCTTACTAACTGAGTGCTCTCTTGAGGGCTGGACCTGTAGTCTGTCTATTTTAGCATATATCCCCTTCCTTCTGCAGTTGGCAGCCCTTCAGTGTATTGGATAGCAACCTTCCTGGACAACTTGCTTTAAGATCCATGGGCATAGTCAAGGGGTTGCGGTTGGGAGCAGCTGCTACCCCAATCAAGAAAATAAATAAAAATGCTTAGCTGACCAATCGTGTCACAGATAACTCAGTTCTGTCCGTCCCCCAACATAATGCCTGACTATGCCCATGCCAAGACCCCATAACAGAAGTATCAATTATTCACTTTCTTCTTTTCAAATGGTATGGGGGATGAGGGGGACTTCTCCTACAAACTGCAAGGGGTCAGAAACCTTAAGAAAAGTCTCTGCTAAAAGGGAAAGCAAAAACTGCCTGGCTTTGCAGGCTGCAAAAGTCAGGCTTTTGTGCTAGATGGCTAGATTGAGACGGGTAAAAACTTTTGAAATCAGAAAATTTCAAGTCCTGCTTGCTGACACAGAATATAACCCATTCCATGTCCGACTACGTTTCCTGGATGAGAAAAGCAAAGACAGAATTGAGTCCAATACTAACCTGTAGCATAGTGACAGACTGCGTGTAAGTTTCTGTTTGGGTTGTTACGGCTGTGGTCTTGTCAACTGTTGTAGTCTGGGTTGTTTGCACAGGCTCTTTCGTGGTCTCTGAGCTTCTTGCAGTTTCCCATTCTTAAGAAAAGAAACAAGATAATAAGATTTAATTAGTGTTTCAGTAAAGGAAGAAAAGGACGATTGGTCTTACCTGAATAGTACATTTATTAGGTGGATGATGTAGTATTGGACTGGACTGTTTCTCTGTATGAGACTTAAAAGGTAAAGTAAAGGTACCCCTGCCCGTTCGGGCCAGTCTTGCCAGACTCTAGGGTTGTGCGCTCATCTCACTCTATAGGCCGGGAGCCAGCGCTGTCCGCAGACACTTCCGGTCACGTGGCCAGCGTGACAAGCTGCATCTGGCAAGGCCAGCGCAGCACATGGAACGCTGTTTACCTTCCCGCTGGTAAGCGGTCCCTATTTATCTACTTGCACCCGGAGGTGCTTTCGAACTGCTAGGTTGGCAGGCGCTGGGACCGAACGACGGGAGCGCACCCCACTGCAGGGATTTGAACCGCCGACCATGTGATCAGCAAGTCCTAGGCGCTGAGGGTTTACCTACAGCACCACCCGCGTCCCCTGTATGAGACTTAGGCAAGAGCAAATAATTGTGTGTGGTAGACCGCTTCTCAGTTTTTCAGACTCACCAAGCAGGAGCATAGTCACAAAAATCTAAAACTAAATTAAGTACAAGGGCTTACCTCCCCCCGGCTAACACGTGAACAAGAACAAGAGTAAAGAAAATCAACTCCCCATAATAAAATTCAGGCATATATAGCATCCACCTCCTGACAATGTAATGCAAAAGAAATAATAATGTCATATAACGTATACAGTAAGAAACTGTTAAGGAAGCAGCGTGTGTGGTTGCTGCAACAGGTAGCCCACGCCGTAAAAATCATTGAGGAAAATGGCAGTCCAACCGCTGAAACAGCAACTGCCAGCAACAGGAAATAAAGACCAAAAGTAAATAATTAATTGGAAATAGAAGTAAAACACTGAACATAGATTAGCAAAAGACTGGACAAAGTATCTGGACAAACAGATTAAGAAGATGAAGATTGCCAAGTAACTAAGAATAACAAAGAAAGGTGTTACTGAGGGCTCAGTTGAATAACAGCCAACAAAACAGTGGTCTACCTCCCACAATGCTTTGCTCCTGCCTGAGTCTCATGAAAGAGGAACAGACCAATCCGAACACTTCATCGTCCACCATAATAAATTAAAAATATTAAAACATTTTCAGAATACTTTCCATGAAACCTAAATCTTTTTAATGACTGGAGAATAAGGGGATATGCTCAGAAAAACTGCCTGGTCATAGCCAATTCATGAAAACTGCTATGCACAGCTAGATGTGAACTACTAAGCTTGCTCTTTGAATCTACGGTGAAGGCAGTCAACAATTTGTGCCTGATAGTTTTAGAAACTCTTATATCAACAGTTTGTTGAAAACCATTAACTAGAGGGGTTTTTTTATACCATCCTTAGAAGATCTAATATGGTAAGTTTTAGAGCAGAATCCTACATATTTACTCAGAAGTAAATACAAGTATGCCCTATGGAACTGACTCCTTAGTGAATTAGTTTAGTATTGTCAATCAGTCCTAAAGAAGCTTACTCAGTAAGTCCTAATGAGCTGAATGGGAGTTACTGCAGTCTTAGTCTGGCAATCATCCTAGTGCAAGATAGAAATTTTCTAGTGACTTTAGAAACTGGACACTTATGATTCAGTCTGACTGCCAACTGCTAGCCTACTTCTTAATTAGTATGATAACAAAACACCCGTCATTATCATTCTAATGGGCACATCTAGTATCTCGGAAACACATTTTTCTGTAACGAAAGATGAAAATAAATAAACCATTCTTACCACTATTTACTGTTTCCTGGTCAATCATGCCTCCTTCTGCAAAGCCATCTAAATCATCCAATTTAACTTTTTCCCAAGGTATATATGAAACTCCAACATCTGCATCCCAAAATTGTTTGTATTCAGTTTTCACACCTTTGTTTAAAGCCCATGCAATCTGAAAATAGAATACAATTCAATAGTTATGGAAATAGATCACAACTAACATCTCTACCAGGCTTTTGATCTCCTTTCAAACATACTAACCAACAGTCCTATTACATTGTTCATAAGATGGAAGAACTCGCTATGCAAAACCTTCAATATAGCCAAATTAAAATGAATTCTTTCACCATCATGTAATTATTTTCCTCTTCTGAGTTATACTTTCTACAACTTCATTATCAAGTTATTTAGCACAGACCAAATTATTTGAGCCTTTTGTCCTCTACAATTATTGTGTTGTACTTGCTGAAATTCTTCCCCTATACCAATCCCCCCCCAAATGATGCTCTAATGCAGATACTGTTACCACCAGCCATAAAGTTATATTAATTGGTGTTTTAAAACTGTGTTCCTGTTGATTTCCCATTTTGAAATATTCCACTTGTAATTCTAATGACTGTTTTGACAAGAAAATTATTCTACAGAGTATCAAGAAATTCCTATTTTATTCTCAGTAACTATAGGTATTACCAACATGAATGTTATATTCTTCACTGTATGAAAGCAAACAATTACTATAATTATCTTGAAGATGAATAATATGAATTACCTTAATAATTTTAGATCCAATCTTGTAGGATCCAGAGCTTAGTTTCTGAAGAGCACGATACGCATCTTGTCTATGAACCATACAGACATACGCACAGCCCCTGGGAGGGATCATCTATAAGCAAGAGTCAAGTAATAGTAAAGTGTAAACTAATGGCTAGGAATCAGGAATGGCCATCATGGTGGGGCGGTGCTATCCTCTCAACTCTGGTGTTGCTGCCACTTATTAGGAATGTGCAGAGCTGTACATCAGTCAAAGTCTCTGGTACTCCCATCCTGTGCTCACAAAGCTCTGACCTTACCGCTGCCCTGCCCCAGTACACAGCAGTGACACCAAGTGTCAAGAAGGTGACTCCACAACACTCTTGCAGCTGTAATCCCGTCTCCACCACCGCCACATACACACACACTTATGTCAGTTTCCCCTCCTTCAGCACCTACTATGCCATTCCGGAGGGTCAACCTGACTTTCAGGAGTGATGTTACAAGAACCACAATGAGCTGCACATGCAATGGAGAGGCAGGCAAACCTGCCTTGTTGTGTAAGCAGAACTCCACTTAAATTCCTCTAGAACTAGCTAGGAAGCACAGTTACCTCTATGTAAAAAGGTAAAGGGACCCCTGACAATTAAGTCCAGTTGCGAACGACTCTGGGGTTGCAGCGCTCATCTCGCTTTAAAGGCCGAGGGAGCCGGCGTTTGTCTGCTTCTGCAGACAGTTTTTCCAGGTCATGTGACCAGCATGCCTAAGTCGCTTCTGGCGAAACCAGAGCAGCACACAGAAACGCCATTTACCTTCCCACCAGAGCGGTACCTATTTATCTACTTGCACTGTGTGCTTTCGAACTGTTAGGTTAGCAGAAGCTGGGACCAAACAATGGGAGCTCACCCTGTCGCGGGGATTCGAACCGCTGACCTTTCAATCGGCAAGCCCAAGCAGCACAATGGTTTAAGCACACAGCACCACCCACATCCCTTACCGCTATGTACTAACCCTTATTTTCTACTAACGAGTACACAACTGTTCAAACAAGGTTATATTATTTTTAAAAAGACATATGCTGATTATTTCACTTACATTTATAGATTCTATTTGTCCAAATTCTTCAAATAAATTGGTTAAATCTTGCTGGGTGGCTTTCTTGTCCACCTGACCAACCCAAAGTGTAGTACTGCAGACTGTAAAGACAAATATTGAATAAATCAATTAAGAGTTTGTTGCCTATGTTCACTTAAGCTGGAACCTTTAACGCAGGCTTTTGCCACAGACAAGCTAAAGCAAGTTGGGGCCTTGCACAGGGCATGTAATGTATCAAACCAAAAAATACGTTTTTAAAATTTAAGTAGAGAATTCTACTCTTAACTAACCCCTACCATAAAGCATGTAAAATCTCATGCCAAAACTAATATGTACCATAAACACATTGCAGGAAAGTGAATTAGGAAACGTTAGAAAAAATGTCCCAAGAAATCAATCTCAACCCTCTGCTTCTTTTGAAAGAATGACTAATAACAAATTAAATATTATTTTATTATTAGAAACGTTAAACTGCAAGAGGACTTACCACTTAGTGTTTTTGACCGTATAGGAGGCAACCCTTTTTTCTGTCGTTCTTTTTCCCTCTCTCTAGCTCTTCTTTCACTTGAGTAGGACCTGGAGGACTTCCTCTTCCTTTCCCTTGATCTAGAGCGCGAGCGCTTTCTATGCTTACGCTTTCTAGAGCCAGATCGTGATCTGGACCTTCTTTTTCTTGGAGACCTGTAAAATAATTGGTTCAATGCTGCTAAAAGAACACTCATAAGAAAAGCACAAAACTCATTTTGGTTTTTGAACTTTGGGACAAAAAAAAAATCTACTATATTAAGAAAATTACAAAATTACCTTGAGCGGGATCTTGAACGTGTTCTTGATCTTGAAGGAACTACAGGTTTCTTTTCCTCTTGCTCAAATACCTCTTGTTCTACAACTTCTTGACCTTCATCTATGTCCATGTCCTGAATAGAGTAGAAAGAGGGGCTCACACCAAAGTACAGGAAAACATGCTCACAATAATTTCGCAAAAGCAATCTATATGCACAAAATGGCTTGCATATGAAGGTCTTATTCCTCACTGTGGTTCTATACGCAGAAAAGAGTGATGTGGGGAAATCCTCACATGCAGAATCTGAGGGTATATGTGTTATTCTCTTGTGGCGCACATATTCATGAAATTATGACTTCCTTCAGAAAGGATAGCAACCATCTGTTCAATGAATGGGGGAGAATTCTTAGGCCCAGTATCATATCTATAGCATATTGCTGCCCAGGAAGACCCTAACAAAGGCTAGTGCATTTAGCCTTTATTTTACAAAATTTACATTACTGATCTTGTAAACTGTAACCACAGAGATCACATTTCATAGATGTAAATAGAAACAGCAAATTTCACCTGTTGTTGAACATCCATTGAATTGTCAATATTTGTTTCTACTTCTAAAAACTGTTGGTGGCTGCTGTCTTGTGAAGGTGATGCTGAATGCTCAGAACCAAAATTCCCTTCTTGTGTTTCCTCAGGACTTGCCTGCAAAAAGAAATTATGAAAGGTTAATATTTCCATCTGTTTTACCTGCAACTGTATTGGCTTTGCAGAAGGAGGCATGCTGTACATATGCAGCAGCCCAATTTGGCATAAAACTGTATCATTATTAGAATATTTGTTGGTTTGTTTGTTTTTGCCCAATTATGTGAAAAGACCAAGAGAAGAGCCATTGCAATTCTAGTGAGGAATCGAAACATTACTATTATGAACTGCGAAAAATATTGTAAGATGAACTTAGAATGCAAAGTTCTGCATTTTAAGGAACTGTTGTATCAAAAATTACATTTATTGTTTATTTATTAAATTTCTATATTGCCCTTCATCCGATGATCACAGGGTGGTTTACTTACTCTCTCTCTCTCTCTCTCTCTATATATATATATATATGTTACACAGGAGAAGTTAACAAATTTGCTGCTTTTTGAGACTAAAATTATGACTCCATCAAATGCCACTCAGAGCATGGATTCATAAATCCAGATGGATATGTTAGATGTTTGTTAGATGTCACTGCTTGGTGACATCTAGTGGCAAATCTACTCAGGTTTTCTCCTGAAAAATGAAAAAAAATTCTTCTGAAAAATGAAACCAGTATTGAAGAATACCAATATTAAACTAATTCTCAACATTACAACTCTGTTCATCTGTATACGATTTTTAATTCATCCATCTCAAAGTTTGCCAACACCTTTTCACTATGCAAACCCTGCATTTCATTTGATGACTATTTATAACTAGACCATTGTGAAAGAGGTTAGTTTTACCCTACTGATGATGTGTTGTTGCGATTGTAATCCTGCTCAGTACGAGAGGAACAGCAGGTTCAGACCTCTGGTGTATGTGCTTGGCTGAGGAGCCATAGGGTGAAGCTACGATCTGTCGGATTATAACTGAACGCCTCTAAGTCAGAATCCCCCCCCCCAACGTATTTATAACTATTATCTAATTCCCACTTTAGTGGTGTTTCTGCTATCAGAATATTTTTATTCAAACAATCCATTTTCTTTCAAATCCATTCCTAGTCTCTCAATTCAGATACTCTTTGTACAAGTCCTTTGCAAAACTATGTATATCTACAAAGTAGGGCTGCTATGCTCCAAATTCACACAGTTATGAAGGGATGTTAACTACTAGTATTATTTCGGGGTTATGACACTAGGAAAAAATGCCTAAATTATGGAAGCCTTTCTTCATAAACTTCTGCCACCCCACTTGAATAGACTGAAACTTGGACTTGAAAGCTGCTTAAAGAGAATGTCATTGGGATATTGCTACATACTCCAGTTTGCGTTTAAGCCACTTTCACCAAACCCTCATCCCCAAGCACTTTTTGATCTCAGGGAAGTGCTTCTTGGTGGCAACTGATCAGAAGAAATCACTTCAAAACAAACACACAAACACAGTTGCATGTGTGCCTCTTTGTACTGCTGCCTTCACTGTGTGAAAAACATTAAAAGTAAGTTATAATGCTTTTCTGCTTTTATGATAAAAAACATTAAAGTAAAACTCACTTTTGCTAACTAGAAACATAGTAATAATACTAAAAAGATGACCACCTATTGTCGAAAAACAAAATATTATACCTTTGGAGGTTGCTGCTCCAGAAGCTGCTGGCGGAGATGTTCTAGGTTTTGTTGCTGTAACTGTTCAGCTAGTTGGTGAAAAAGTGAGTTGTTCACAGATTCAGATACAAGAGGCCTAAAACACACAATTAGAACAGTCAATCAACCTCTTACTACGTAGTAATAATCTTATAGATTGCTTTAATACAAAAACAAGTTTGGTAATAGGGCTGTGCGATAAATCGCCATATCGTGGTAAGTGTTTCAACAAGGCAATATACTGGTGAACAAAAGGTGGAGACTTGACAGCTTCCCAGGGGGTAGCTCAGTTGAACCTATACTTGACAGATACTTTGCAGATTATTTGCATTTGTGTTGTTGGTTCCCCCTAAATAGCTTTCCTCCATATTAAAAAGGAAGGGTTTTTAAAAATTTAAATGAGACTATCTTTTTGCTTGCCCTGCCTCCCTCCCTTTGACAAAAAGGAAGAGATTAGTGGGATGAGGGCTTCTGTGGGGCAGCTTCTGTGGGGTGGTGGTGGAGGGGAGTTGCCTTGGCTGCCTTATGCTGAAATGGGAGGTTGGGTAGTATGTGAGAATGATGGGGAGGGTGTTTTTTTGGTAAAGCAGTGCAAGCAAATGCGTACGTACTCACAAGCAAGCCCTACTGAATTCAATGAGGCTTAGCCCCAGGAAAGTAGAAGTAAGCTTAGTTGAACTCAGTGGGGCTTACACATGCACAGATTCCACTTAGACCTCTGAGTGGGGAAGCAGATGCAACTTGACTAGTAAATCACCTAAACTACTCTTAAATTAGTTTAAAATATATTAAATACATTATAAGGTAAAGGTAAAGGTACCCCTGCCCGTACGGGCCAGTCTTGACAGACTCTAGGGTTGTGCGCCCATCTCACTCAAGAGGCCGGGGGCCAGCGCTGTCCGAAGACAATTCCGGGTCACGTGGCCAGCGTGACATCGCTGCTCTGGCGAGCCAGAGCCGCACACGGAAACGCCGTTTACCTTCCCGCTAGTAAGCGGTCCCTATTTATCTACTTGCACCCGGGGGTGCTTTCAAACTGCTAGGTTGGCAGGCGCTGGGACCAAGCAACGGGAGCGCACCCCGCTGCGGGGATTCGAACCGCCGACCTTTCGATCAGCAAGCCCTAGGCGCTGAGGCTTTTACCCACAGCGCCACCCGCGTCCCATATATTATATTTAAAATATATTAAATACATTACACCGCGTCCCATATAATATATTTAAAATATATTAAATACATTATATGGAGGTTTATTTAATATTTTTGTGAAATCTACTACTTCCTTACATTTTAAGGCCCTCCACCGCTGCAAGGAGCCTCATCAAGAACGCCCTCTGCAGCTGCGAGGGGATACAGTGGGACCCTCTGACCACAGGGAGGCACAGCAAGGCCCTCAACCACAGATAGATAGATAGATAGATAGATAGATAGATAGATAGATATGGTGCTATATCACAATATTGTGATATTTAGCTGGTGATATATCATGATGTTGAAAATCAGGTATCACCCAGCCCTATTCAGTAATACAACTGAATTTTACACTAATTTGCAATCTGTTGCTATAGCCTTGAGGTTACAATAATAGCTTTGACCCAAAGATGCTGTTGCAGGCCTCGATGAATTCTTGCTCTTGTTACAACTCCGAGGGCCAAATCTTATGTTAGTTTAGAAGGCTCCCCAGGAAGCAGCTTTTGGCAGCACAAAGGGCTCCAGTAGGAAGGGGGAAGCAAGAAAGTATTTATCAAAGGAACTCATACCACTCCTTTCTCGTTCAAAAGAAACTGCTCAAGGAAGTTTGCAACATACTCAATGATACAATATGACAAAGTAAAACAGAGAAGAACACAACCCAAGCCAATGTTTTATGTACATTTAGATTAATGAAGCATGGGACTTTGAAAATATGTTTTAAGAACAGAGTACAAGATTGTAACATCTGCTATGGCAAATCATTTTTTGTAAAAGACCAGCAACTTTGAAACAAGCAACATTCAGCGTAATAGGAACAATATCAAAAGTAGCAAACTCTGCAACTAAAAGGCTTCAATGAAAATTAAAATCATTTCAGAAGTTTCCATTGAGATTTAAATCCAATGAAAATCTGAAGCAAAGAAAAGCCTTATTAATTTGCTGGGACAAACATAGCACTAGATGCTATAATAAGTAATGCAACTAATTGTTTTGCCTTTGCCCATCTAACAAAGTTTGAAAAAAGGGAATCTAAATAGGTACACCCAAAGGTACTTCAATATAAAATAGGTACATTCATATAAAGTGGTTTAGAAGTGCTTTTAATTAAATAAATACTGCTTTTAGATTATCACTTATTAGCTTAATAGGCCAATATAGAAATGAGCATTCTGTCTACACATGCAGCCTCTCCGCTTTGCAAGCAAGCAAGCAAGCAAGCAAGCAAGCAAGCAAGCAAGCAAGCAAGCAAGCCAGCCAGCCAGCCAGCCAGCCAGCCAACCAACCAACCAACCAGGAAGTCTACTTTTCACACTATTTCCACTTGATATATTAAACGAAGTGAAGTCTTACATTTGGGAAGTTTGAGTTTCTTTTTTAGGTTCTTCATTAATGTCAGCTTCTTCACCAAAATCGCTAAACCTATCCATCAGCTTCTAGGAGAAAACAAACAATGCATTAGAAATGCACTATATCCACAAACTATTCAAGATGGCATGTTAAAAGAAAGGCACACTAGATTGACCTGTTTATTTTTGGCCTGTTGTAAATGTACATTTTCATATGTCTGTATATATGTTACTTACTTGGCATATGAAAATGGTAATACAAATAAGCCATAAATAGCATAAGCACTGTGGGTTAAACCACAGAGCCTAGGACTTGCCGATCGGAAGGTCGGTGGTTCGAATCCCCGCAACGGGGTGAGCTCCCGTTGCTTGGTCCCTGCTCCTGCCAACCTAGCAGTTCGAAACCACGTCAAAGTGCAAGTAGATAAATAGGTACCGCTCCAGCGGGAAGGTAAACGGCGTTTCCATGCGCTGCTCTGGTTTGCCATTAACTGCTTAGTCATGATGGCCACATGACCCGGAAGCTGTACACTGGCTCTCTCGGCCAATAAAGCGAGATGAGCGCCGCAACCCGAGTCGGCCATGACTGGACCTAATGGTTAGGGGTCCCTTTACCTTTACATATGTATAAAAGTACAGTAGTGGTATATTTAAACTGGGTTACCTTACTGAATCAGGGATCTATGTCCCAGGTTTATGCTAGTGTACTGACACATCAACCATCAACCAATTTAAAGCTGGTGCCAGCAGTACAGAATTATGTACAGGTAAGCTGTTTCATATGGCTAGGTCAAGGTTTAGACCAGCCAGCATAAAATAGCCTACTGCATTCATAAGTAAGCTCCTGGGATTGCAAAGAAAGAAACTCAACTGTCTGTTACTTTTAAAAAGTAGATTTGATGAAAAACTAGTTCAGTGATCCAGCATCCAGGTCTGTGCATGCAATTCCCAACACTGGGTCAATAACTGCATATTAAAGCACCAGACATGGTGTGAATATGGATCATCTGGTTGCAGGTATGGGGAACTGCATCCAGATACCCCCACCATCTCCGGATCAGGAAGGGGCTTGCATTCAGGCTCATCTCTCTTTCAATCTAGGTGACATTTTGACCCTTTGATTTGTTAAACATATTTCTAGATCAGGGCCAATATCGCTGAAAGAAGATGAAAGATTCAGCATATCACTTCTAAAAAAATTTAAGAAGCTGACATATTTTAATAAAAATTTTCTATTAACATCTTAAGATTTAGAAGATATTAAAAATCTATTTTAAAAACAAAGCAAAAGGGAAACAAGGAAACAAAATCCTTGGAAATATATTCTTCAAATTCTAGCAACCTTTCTCAAACTTGGTAGATCAACTTCTACCTTGTTAAAAGAGACACTCTGTTCTAGTGGGTTAAGTGTATTGGCAGCAGCGGCAGCAGCTGTAAGTTGCGCAGTGAGGGCTTGTAACTGAACGACGAGACCTGCATCCAGTGCTTGAAGTAATGATGGCTGTGGTTTCTGCTGTTGCATTTGCAGTGTCTGTATTAGTTGTTGAAGCTGGAATGAGGGGAAGAGAGAAATGACATTTTTGCTAGTGTTATGTACACATTTATAAAATAAACATATACTTTGACTTCAAAAATTAAGTTTCATTATTTCCAGCTATTCTTAAAATGTGCTTTGATAGACAAGGGATGGCAAAATACCAAAATAAAACAAACCCATTTATATATGCATTATTATTTATTGTATTTGCTTATATTTTATACGCAACATTCAACTCGTTCAAGCAATTTTCAGAAAACAGTAACTGCTTCCAGAGAAATGCTGAAAGGAAAAAGATGGATATCAGGGCTCTGCACCCAGTCTGGCCCAATCCCAAGAGCTGATTTAGGCTGATGTGTATCCTGTCCAGATCAGGCTGAAGCAGTTACAAATCACTACAGGCAGGATAAGATTGCCTCAATCAATTTGTACAGATTTGTGTCGATGCGTAGCTCAAAACTCTCAAAAGTCAAAAAGTGTGCCTCTGAAATGCTGCAATTATTAATTACAACACCATAGAATGGTGGTGAAAGGGGAAACAGGGGAGCTGAACTATGCTTAATGAGAGCTGTAGGGTATGCCTAGAATGCTATTACCCCACCCAACACTCTTCAATTACTGTATGTGTCTGTGAAAGTTTTAAATGCAGAACTCTTTTGTAGGTTCTGTTTCTTAAAAAGTGTTTGGTGGGATTGGCTGGCATTCATTCAGTTTGTGTTTATTTTCTATCCTTTGACAATCAATGCCAGTTCCATCATTAATACAAAAACAAAATTTTGTTACCTGTCTTTTTTTATTTTAGCCTCTTCTCATAGAGAAGAATTATCACCATCATTATTAATTACAATTTATTATCAGCCAGCCAAACATTGTGGACATAGTCTACTTAACTTAGCATTATCATTATTATCAATGTAGGGCAAACACAGGAGCATGAAAATTGACGTAACTGAGCACTAACTGTTTTTTATTGAAAAATTATTTGCTTTTTTTTTTTAAAAATGTAAACTTTAAAGATGACTAACATGAAAACCCCTGGAGATAGCCATATAACATTTTACAGAGTTAAACTCCTCTATACGGCCTACCAAGTCTCCATATTTCATATAAAAAAGAAAAAGTTACAACTGTTCTTGTTTTGCAATGTAAAGGGATTTCTAGAGATTTCCCTAAAATCCCGGTCCAGTTGGGCCAGGTCCAAACCAAATTTACAAATCATAAAACACAAGTCAAATCAGGGAGGGATATCTCATGCATTACTCTTTTGGAAACATACTGACATACAAGGGTACCTATCATGCTGGCATTCAGTATCACATCCAATGCCAGCATTTGACAAATCAATAATAAATTAAAGTAGGGGAGGAAATACTCTTGGACCTTTCATGGACAATTTAAACTAAACAAATAAGTAAGGAGGTTAATTACCCAATTCTGTGATTTTGTTTTAAAGCCGAACACACTTTACCTGTTGGCCTTGTGGACTTTGCAAGATCTGTGCTACAGCAGTAAGAGTATCTGTATTAGTTATCTGAGACACCCAAGGATCAGGTAAACTTTGGACCACATTGGCTGGTGTAGCAGGTGTCACAGGCGTTCCTGAAATCAAGGGGAAAGGCAGGAAGCATGTAATAAAAAGTATGTAAAGAGAATGAATGGGGAAGGGAAGGGAGAAGACATACAAGAGTCAGGGTTTTGTTTGTTTTTTTAGCCTAGGCTGTGAACATATATACGTAAAGAGAATAGCTGCATATTGTGAAAATACAAATCAACCAAACTTCTCTCTCTCTCTGAACAGAGCTTCAGCGAACCATGTGAAAGCCAGGCCTCTCCAACAATTAACTTATTCTGATTTTCAAGTTTTAACACATTTTCAGTTTTATTTTACTGGGTTTCCTGAGAAGCCTGTGATTAAGTGGTATACAAACTGTTAAATTAAAAATAAAATAAAAATTAATGGAACTACCTAGGATGACATCTTGTACTTAACCCATATGATAATCCTACAGGCAAGGACTACGAGCAGCACAAAGTAACACTATTCCTTGAACAATGCACACAAAAGTATACCAGTTGAAAACCATCAGACAGAAAGGGCATCTCATCATTATCAACCAGTCAAATTTGAAGCAAAGAGAACTTAGTTGGCACCATCATTTCATACCCCTATATGAAAGCCTTGGATATGTTTACATACATCCCTCTCTAAACACCAACCAGGCAAGCAAGAGTAATTACCAGACTTCAAGATCAAATTTCAGGCAGCAAAGAACAAAAAAATATGGCCTGAGTAGGTATGGAATGGTGAGAATCCCAAGGGTCAGAACATTTGGCCCCTGGACTGGAGGTTCTCCACCCTTACATTAACTGAGATATAATTTGATTCAAATCCTTTTAAGAAGAGCTATTGTATGAGGTCCTTACTAAATAAACTTCTTTTCCCTATCAACTAACTACAATTTATTATAGTAGTACCTGAAAGAACAAGATACAGTACTAGGATTAAAATATCAGAACACTGGACAAAATAATCCCTGTATATGAAGTTCATCATTCCTACAGACATAAAACAGGCAGGTGTCATATATCAGCCTTTGCCAAATTAAAACCATGATGAAGTATTAATGGAGAAACAGTTTTTCACAATGGAGAACATTCATAACACTTTTGTTACCTGGTGTATTGTTACTCATAGTAGCAGTTGTCCCAGGCAAGACAGGGGTCACGACTGGAGGAGGAATTCCCGCTGCCATATCCAATAGAGGCTGGATAATTTCACTTTTGAACACATTATTCTTCTGCCACAAATTTAGCACTCTCACAATTTTACTCTAAAAGGAAGCAAGGGTAACACAACATTTTATATTGGAATTTACATCATAAGCACCCCCTACTGTTCCAAACTAAGTGTGGAATAGATGGCTGAATTTGGAAGATTCTCCAGAACAGGGTTTGGAAGAAATGTGTTGAGGGCTTGTGTGCTCCCAGTTTCCCTCTTGAATGTCAATTCCCTCTACAATTTCTAGATTGCTTTATCGCATGCCTGCCAAACCTGCTTCAAATCATGGTGTTATGGTCTACAACTCCCATCATGCCTGTCCATCAGCAATGCTATCTGGAGCTGATGGCATTTGCAGACCAACAACATCTGGGTGCACCATGCTGGTTACCCTTAGCCTGGAAGTTGCAACTCATCTACTTCACATGCCAAGGCAAATTACAGTTACAGCAACCTGGAAATAAATGAAGTAACCAGTATGCAAGAGGCGGCGGCAGAGAAGTCTATGCCATGCTTCTGATCCTCCAAACTGTTTCAGAAAATTGTTCAAAAGAAACCCACAACGTTATCAGATATAAAGGAGGATTTTTTTAAAAAATCAGTTGCCCCTTAACCTGCAGCTCCCTCCTGCATGTTCCCTCCCATGCTGCTCCAAAGGGTCCACAAACTCTAAAGCAAATGGGAGATGGAAGGGGTTTTTGTGTGTGGTAAAAATCACCTCTTCCCCATTTTGATCCAGTCTCAACTGGATCAAAGCGTAAGCAGAAGAACACCATTAGATACAACCCCTATCATATATGAAAGATGAAACATGAGACTGATGTGCTTCACATTAGGCTTGTAGCTAGGCTGACTTGAATGAAACTGGGGAAATGAAACAAAAAATCCTAAATTCTGTCTTTTAATATAAATAGTTGTGCCATTAAGCTGCATGATAAAGAGATGAATGCATTATTCCACTGACATAAGCCTATGCTTGATCAAAGCCCTCTGTCAGTGGAGGGACTCCACTGGATACAACCCTATGTGGATAACACCATTGGATTCTTTTTCCTTGCTAATATTTTTAGGGTTGTTGAGAAGATATACTGAGAAGGCTTTTTTCTGGCAGATGAAGGCAACAGCCACTATGCTGTTATGCCTTAATTTAATGTTCCTCTTTCATAGAATCTTAGAGTTGGAAGGGACCTAAGAGCCATCTAGTCCAACCCGCTGCAATGCAGGAATCTCAGCTAAAGTATCTATTACAGATGACCAACCAAACTCTGATTTAAAACCTCCAAGGAATGACTTATTTGAAAAATAAGTCATGAGCAACATGCTATTAATTATGATGATGATGATGCAACTGAAGCACTTTGAACAAACAAAAGCATTATATAAGAATTAATTATATCCATGATATAATAACAATGTAAGGGTGTAGAGAACAGTGATAATCCTGTACTTAAAATACATAAAAATCACTATACGTCTTTCCCACTTTTCACAAATAGTAGTACAAAATTTCCAGTCACTATTTTAAAAAGCTTATTGATGATTGCTACACCTTTCTCCCAAATTCTTACTGGCAATGTATGCCTATTTTCCCAGAGACATTGTCAAGAAATACATTATCACCCACAGTACTAAAATGAAATTTAGATATGCTGAACTTTAATTACTGGACTGTCTGGGGGGAGGGGGAATAGAGATGATCACCATACCTTGTCATCCCCAGGGCAACGGTATAAATTCTGGAAAGTGCTAATTATGTTATTGCTAAACCTAGGAGCAAACACATCCTTTTCTTGTCCAAACTGATGTCGAGACTGTCGAACAATAGAGTCAATGACATATAAGCCAGGCACCTTGTATTCTGGTTTACACTATGAAGCAATATAGAAAGAAAATACATCATTTTATATGTGAATCTGCAAGTAGTAGAAACAATAATAGCAAATTACAACAACTGACCTAATTTCAATACTGTTTCAACAGTTGAATGTACCTGGGTAACTGCAAAAATAATGACAGGCAGGATGTGGTGGGGATTCTTCCTTATCTTTAGCTCTATTTTTTTTTTTAAACTACTATTCCCACTGGTTTACATAGGAATATAGGAGGTTGTTCGGTCCCAGCGCCTGCCAACCTAGCAGTTCGAAAGCACCCCCCGGGTGCAAGTAGATAAATAGGGACCGCTTACTAGCGGGAAGGTAAACGTCGTTTCCGTGTGCGGCTCGCCAGAGCAGCGATGTCATGCTGGCCACGTGACCCGGAAGTTTCTCCGGACAGCGCTGGCCCCCGGCCTATAGAGTGAGATGGGCGCACAACCCTAGAGTCTGTCAAGACTGGCCCGTACAGGCAGGGGTACCTTTACCTTTACCTTTTATAGGAGGTTGCCTTATAATGAGTAATTATTAGTTCACCTAGCTCAGTATTGTTTACACTCACTGGGAACATCTCTTCAAGGTTTCAGGCAGGTTCCAGTCCTACCTGGAGATGCTAGGGATTGAACCTTGCACCTTCTGCATGCAAAACAGATGCTCTACTACTGAGCTCTGGCCCTTCTCCTATGAAGGGTTCAGGCTTTCAAACTATCTGCAGAATGAAGGGACTTTGAGTTACCTCATTCATTCATTCATTCATTTCTATACTGCTCTTCATCGACGATCACAGGGTAGTTTGCAATATAAAACCACAAAAATGCACAACCCAGTAGCAAATAAAACCAGTAACTACCCCCACCCCAACAGTTTAAAAGTCCATAGATTGTTTAATTAGCCAAAGGCCTGGGAGAAGAGGAATGTTTTTGCCTAGCACCTCAAGATATGTAACAGAGGCATCAGGCAAGCCTTTCAGGGGAAAGCATCCCACAAGTGGAGAGCCATGGCAGAAAAGGCCAGTTTTCGTGTTGCCACTCTCCAGACCTCTCACAGAGGATGCACTGAAAAAGGGCTAAGATGATGATTGCAGGGTCCAGGTCAGTTTATACGGGGAGAAGCGGTCCTTGAGGCATTGCAGTCCTAAGCCATTTAAAGCTTTATAGGTCAAAACCAGAACATCTCATTTTGAAATCTATCTCTGGTATCAATGCAGTAAGTAGATCTATGCCCATGGAGGTTTCTGTGTGTGTAACTGTGGCTTCCAGGTCAGACATATCCCACCAGCAGCAGTTGCCGCGTGCTAGTAGAAAAGCATCTTTATCCCATCCTAACTCTGCCAAGCCATGAGACTAGGACGTCAGAAGCACCTCCTAATCTTTAAAATTAAAGTATTTTAAGGTACAGCAACTTATTCTTCCAATACAGCCTAAGAATAAAAAGCAGTGGGGTCCTTTTTTTATTCCTTACTTGCAGTGGCGTAGCGTGGGTTCTCAGCACCTGGGGCAAGGCAAGTAATTTGCACCCCCTAACCCGTGGAATTGCGCCCCCTAGCCCGTGGATTTGCGCCCCCTAACCCTAACCCCCAGATGTTGCGCCCGGTGCGGCCGGCCCCTCCTGCACCCCCCACGCTACGCCACTGCTTACTTGTTGTATAAATGACTATACTTTGGGTGCATGGCACAACATTGCTCACAACACAGAAAACAATGCTTCCATGCAACAGCTTCAGCTACTGAGAAAGTTTTACACTATTTTTCTTTAAAATATGGATGTTTTACTATCAAAATGATGTGAAATGAACAGTACATATGAAAGTTAAAGTATTTCATATTTAGCTCTCAACATGCAACAAACACCTATCATAACATGAAAAAGGAAAGGAAGCATAATAGTAGTTATCGTGCAAATAAAGATTTTTAGACTGATTTCTATGTACATACTCTGAAGTAATTATTGACATCAGTGCCTCTTATGCATATATGTATTTTTATTTGTCTTTAACAATCTATGAATTGATTTGATCAAGATACTAAAATATTACTAATATGATTTTATTTGGTAACTTACCTTTTGTATGAATTTTTCAACACTTTGTACAACATGCTTGTAGAACTAAAAGAAAAGAAGATATTTTTCTATTGGTTTAAATATATATATGTATAAAATTCACCCCCCCCCTTCTTGTTTAGTTATTTCCTTATACATTTTCTGGGTTCAATCTAATCAAGCACACAAACAATGACCACACGTTGAAGACTCCCACAGGACTCAATACAACCCAATCCTTTCCCCATTGAGAACATACAAGCAGCTCAAGATGGGTAGGGCCACTGCAGGAAATGTGGGAATGTTTCTAATCCTCCATTCAGACCTTTCTACGTGCAACATGCAAATTACTTGTGACCCTATTCCTTGCAATGTCCCCTAAGACTACTTAAATGCACATCCACATACTAATGGGGGGGGGGTTTAAGGTGAAGAATGAGAGTAGGATGAAAATCATGACTCTAAGGAGGCCTGTGGACTTCTCCACCTGCTGATATTGCACTTGCACTCATCTGGGTTGAACATCAAGTATCTACTTGTTTTCCCCATAAATAAAGGATACCTACCAATACCTTTTGCTCAACATTTTAAGCTACCCTGAATAAATTGATTGCTGGTTGCTAGTAAGGCAAAATCCCCTATTTTCTCCCTTGGCTTCAAAATCCCCAGAACTTTTACAGCTCAAGTAATCATTATTTGACACTGATCTTTTCAATTAAATTTTTTTTTAAAAAAAGATCAGGAAATTATAAACATTGCAGTGCACTAACAAAGACCACTACCAGTTAAGAGACATATGTAAGCAGTAAAACCAGTTTCCTACCTTTATAGCCTTGATTGCTGCCTTAGTAATCTGTGTCATTTTAGCCTTTGAAATAGGAGGTTTGTAGTCATTCAGCGAGTAGAGCTGAAAGAAAGAAAAAAGATTGCTGTAAATGGTGCCTGCAAACAATTTCCATGTTAACAGCACAATACCAACAGATGGTTCTCCAAAGGAACCTGGGAAAGGAAGCTAACCTAAGGAGAAACTCAGCATAAGAAAGTAAACAAGTATTGGCTTTGGACATGGGAAACTTAGGTTCAACACTCTGCAAAGTTATGAAGATTACTGCGAGTTCTACTACTGCCATAAGGGTGAATAAAATCATTCACTGTTTTGGAGCAAATAAAAAGGCACAAAAAAAAAAAGCATTAGAGGAGAAACTAAACCTGTCTTCTCCTTCAATGACCCTGGTGTCTGCAGAAGGTACAGATCCCACCCCCCACCAATCAATGCTGCCAAGTGTAGCCTATCTCCTTTCTTTCATAAATCACTGGAGCTTATCACTTTTGTGGAAGAACATTAAGCAGACATAACTGAATTCCACAATTTGCCCACCTCTATGTGTCTGAGACTGCAGTCCATTTAATTGCCCCATAGAATTTTATGGGAGCCACTGACAACTAAGAATGCCCCTAGATAAATAAATCTCTCTTTCTAGATTATGGAGAAACCCTGAATTAATTTTTAATATCATATATATATTTAATATTTAATATTTATAGACAATATTTGGGCCAATATGCAAAAAGCTGTACCATTTACTTTTGCTGATCCAATGACCGATTTAAGGTGTTTAAAAAAGCAAAATGGAAAATAACACATTACATTTTACGTTGATGAGCAGACATCCACTCACACAATAAGACTTCTACTTCCTCTCCTCCCACCTACAGCGCCCTGCATCCCTCTGGATGTGCTCTGGAGGGTCCCCCAACCCTCTGCAGACTTGGGGGGCACAGGGTGGAGTGGAAGCGGCAGTCCCATTGCCCAAGTGGAAGCACATTCTGCAGGCACCTTTGGATGCAATATTCCTACATCTCATGGAAGCACTAAGATTCCCAGGTAGAACGGATTTTCCTGGGCCAGGAGACTTTTGTAACTATTGTTAAAAGTTGCAAAAACAAAGAAGCACAGGACTGAGTGAGGGAGAAACTTTTGGAATAACATCGGGACATCAGCTCCGCGCAAGGCATGACAGATAGCAACAACAACTGGTAAAGACAGACATACAGTGAGGGGGGAAAGTATTTGATCCCCTGCTAAATTTGCCCGTTTGCCCTCTGATGAAGAAATGACCAGTCCATAATTTTAATGGTATGTTTATTGTAGCTGTGAGAGACAGAATAACAACAGGAAAACCCCCAGAAACCCAGAAGACAAAAGTCAGAGATTGGTGTGCATTATAATGAGGGAAATAAGTATTTCCCTTTGCAAAAGATGACTTAGTACTTGGTGGCAAAACCCTTGTGGGCAATTACAGAGGTCAGACGTTTCTTGTAGGTGGCCACCAGATTTGCACACATCTCAGGAGGCATTTTGTCCCACTCCTCTTTGCAGATCCTCTCCAAGTCAGTAAGATTTCGAGGCTGATGTGTAGCTACTCGAACCTTCAGCTCTCTCCACAGATTTTCGATGGGATTAAGGTCTGGAGACTGGCTAGGCCACTCCAGGACCTTCTTGTGCTTCTTCTTGAGCCACTCCTTTGTTGCCTTGGCCGTGTGTTTTGGGCCATTGTCATGCTGGAATACCCATCCTTGACCCATTTTCAATGCCCTGGCTGAGGGAAGGAGGTGCTCACCCAAGATTTGACAATACATGGTCCCGTCCATTGTCCCCTTGATGCGGTGAAGGTGTCCTGTCCCCTTAGCTGAAAAACACCCCCAAAGCATAATATGCCCCCTCCATGTTTGAAAGTGGGGATGGTGTTTATTATTATTATTATTATTGGGGTCGTAGGCAGCATTCCTCCTCCTCCAAAAACGGCAAGTTGAGTTGATGCCAAAGAGCTTGATTTTGGTCTCATCTGAGTACACTTTCACCCAGTTTTCCTCTGGGTCATTCAGATGTGCATTGGCAAACTGCAGACGCGCCTGTACATGTGCTGTCTTGAGCAAGGAGACCTTGTGGGCTCTGCAAGATCTCAGTCCTTCATGGTGTAGTGTGTTACCGTTTTCATGGCGACTATGGTCCCAGCTGCCCTGAGATCATTGACAAGTTCCCCTCGTGTAGTTCTGGGCTGCTTCATCACCGTTCTCCTGATCATTGCAACTCCATGAGATGAGGTCTTGCATGGAGCCCCAGACCGAGGGAGGTTGACAGTTATTTTGTGTTTCTTCCATTTGCGAATTATTGCACCAACTGTTGTCACCTTCTCACCAAGCTGCTTGGCAATAGTCTTGTGGCCCAGTCCAGCCTTGTGCAGGTCTACAATCTTGTCCCTGACATCCTTGGACAGCTCTTTGGTCTTGGTCATGGTGGCTACTTTGGAATCTGCTGGATTGATTGCTTCTGTCGACAGGTGCCTTTTGTACAGGTACTGTAATGAGCTGGGATTACAGGTAAGACCTCTCCCTTACAGCAGGTGCTTCTAATCTCAGCTCGTTACATACAGTGAAGATACCAGGTAGCTTGACATCTGGCTGGTTGATAGGGGATCAAATACTTATTTCACTCATTATAATGCACATCAATCTCTGACTTTTGTCTTCTGGGTTTCTGGGGGTTTTCCTGTTATTATTCTGTCTCTCACAGCTACAATAAACATACCATTAAAATTACGGACTGGTCATTTCTTCGTTAGAGGGCAAATTTAGCAGGGAATGTTGAATGTGTCAATATGAATAGAAGTTATAAATATTGCAGCTGTTGTATGAGGAATTACTATTATGACTGGAATATAATTGAAAGCAGTAAGATTTTGGAATGCAAAAATGAAGTAAATCATCAAACCATCAATTCTAGAACACGGGGAGCCACCTAAATTATGTAATTTGGTATTTGAATGATTGATATTGGGAATTGTATTGTAATATGGCATTGATATAATGAGGCTATTATTGGATTATTGTAACTGAAAACTAATAAAAAATATTTAAAAAGAACAGATTTGTGAGAAATCTGGAAACACTTTATTTGTTTGTTTCATACACAGACAAACAAACAAACAAACAAACAGTAATTGTTCCCACCAACAAAAATACATGTAATATCCCCTAAATAAAAAGAGAAAAAGAAAAGAAAGAATAATATGAATACATCGTGTGAGTTCCCTCCTCCAATACTCATCATCCCTTAAACTTTAAATTCTTATTTACATTTCATCTTATACTTCTTATCTTTAATGTTCTGAATATATTACTTTTTCCTATGTCTACTTTACAAACTTTAGTCTAAACATACCAACATGTTTTCCTTAGAACAGTGTTTATTCATATGCTCTTCAAAACATTTCCATTCTACCCTTAGTTTCTGGTTTGTCTGATATCTTATGGCTGCTGTTAATTTCGCCATTTCTATAAATTCAGATAAATTAAAAATCCTGTCTTTGTGGGAATAGAATTTGTAGCATAAAAATATAGCAGGATAATTGATACAGAACTGGATGAGTGGAATGCTTGAGGGGGAAAAAACATTCCAGATCCTTGAATCTTCTAGAAGCCTATAACTGTAACTTTTGGAAAATCTGTATCTATAGGTACTTTTGTACTAAACTTTTTATCTGATATTGACATAACCCACTCACTCATTTATTCCTGATAACACAGACAATGTAATAGTTTGGGACAATAATTCTCCCAAACTACTGCATTTCCCTGCAGTTATTCTCTCAAACTACTGAATTACTGCATTTACTACCAGGTGTCACACTAAGTTTTGAAAGTGCTATAAGGATTTGCTAATTCAAATCACAACTTGTCACAATTGTAGAACACTCTTTTCACAGCATTTCTAAGCACATAGCTTAGAATTGTGCTTTGTGACATGTCTCATAATATGTAGTATTATGAGCTTCTGAGAGAAGGGGGAAATTGAGAAGGATTTCCTCTCTTAAATTCTGCACCTAATCTAAGATTTCAAGGGAAAAGGCAAAAACAAAAAATGAAGCAACGTTGACAAATCATTTGTAAATTTGCCTTCTCTCCACATGGGATAGTAGCTACAATAGCGTTATAGGAGAAAGGGACGTGCAGCCGTACCAATAGTGGCTAGTGGGAAGATATTTTTTTACCTCCTGGAACAGAAGCAGCAATTACAACAAACTTACTTGTTTATACCTTGAAGCATCCTAAACTTATAATTATCTAGAGAGTAATTCATCTTTTTGATTTATTAAATTTATACCCCATCTTTCCTCCCAAAGGAACCCAGGGTGGTAAACCCAGCCAGATGGGTGGGGTATAAATAATAAAATCATCATCATCTCTTTAAAAACAATTCCAATAAAGATGCAAGCTGCGAAAAGCTCACAACACAAAAGGCCAGCTGAAAGAAGGAGGTCTCAGTAGGAACCAAAAAGACAACAGAGACTGTGCCTGTCCAAGTCGTGATTTTTTATTTTATTTTTTAAAATCAATTATCACTGGAAGACAACAGCTTCCAAAGTAACTACATCCCTACTGACTTCCAACTCCCATTCAGCATGAATAGGGCTCACTGGCAAAAGGTGACATTAACTATGCACTGTTCTGCTAACTTTCAGTACCAAACGAATTACTGTGGTATCACACAGCAGAATGGGAGAAAGCTCCAAGCCAGCAATCAAACTGTAGTAGGTGTGGTGTGGTGTGTGTGTAACCTGTCTGTCCTGAAGAACAAAAAGGAGCAAAATATTCTGAGACTACTATGACTGTGTGACAGTTTAACTTCAACTTGTTAACATTCTGATTTGCTACATAACTGTTGTAGATCAGCCTCAGTTGGGCCAAGCATCTGTAAGTTAGTCCACTACTGCCTTTTAATTATTCCATTCTGCATAAAGACCTGTGTAACAGTTAAAAATCTAATCATACTTGACCAACTCACACTTGGCATAATTAGATAGGTCTTATAGCTCATCCCCACCTAATTCTGCCACAAATGGCTCAGACATAATAACAAAATTCCAAACAAAATAACAAAATAGCAAAGAATGAATAACCAGTTACTAAAAAGGACAGTTACAGTTGTTTCCTTATAACTGACCAAATAAATAAATAAATAAATGAAGGTCACTTATCTTACATCTGTTTTATTGTACATTAACGGCTCAAAAGTGTCTGGACTGCCCAAAGGTGGGAGAACCATTACCAATGGTCAGAATATGCAGAATCCTACGCTACAGTAGAATTCAATGAATTCAGTATGACTTACTTATGGGTAGGTAGGTATTGGATTACACTGTTAAATATTACCAATGGAATACTGAGGAAACAAGTTGTGAAAAGGCATGCTTACTGGAAGACTAAGCAGCATAACTGCTTATTGCTGCTCCTGTTCCCCTGAAGGTCACAGCCTCATCTCCAAACTCTTAAGTATAATACTGCTTTCTCAAGTATGCATATATGCAACTGAGTTCTGCTTTGCTTTTTCAATTCACTGTTCTTTTTTATGCACAGAGACAAGGCAGAGTCCACAAATAATAACCTGCAATGCTGCTGCAGATGGCACTGAACAGAAAAGTATTTGGGGTACATGTGAACTGACTAAGAGTCATGTAATGAGAGTGATAGAAAAATTGTCCCCAAATCTCCTTACAAATCTTATAAGACTGCCACTTACATGTATTTGCTGACAGATGCCAAACTTATACACACATGCCACATACATTTGTTAAATGATGTTGTTTGTATGTGACAATTTCACAATGTGCAACATGAAGTTTTCCACTGGACTTCATCGACCATTTGAAATTATGTACTATATATGTAGCACAAAGTTACACAAGCAACATGCCACATACAAATTGAAAGGCTGAATAAAAGCCCTCAAGCTGTTGTGATAATGGACTAAAAATCCAGCAATTTATCTAAATACACAAATGGCAGGTCATTGATATCCAGACAGTTTCCTAGAATGCTTAAAGGTACTGCTCCTCTGCTAAAGTTCAATAAGAAATTAATATCAGATTATAATATCAGACAAAATGCTGGAGAGTCTACATCAATGAAGAAAAAGGTTTTCCAGCTTCTAAAAATGTACAATTTAAAATGTTTATATTATTTGCTTCCAAATAATGTTGTTTCCAAATCACTGTGAAATTTCTGAACTCTTAAGACCTATCTCAAATATTATTTTCATGTATCATGCAATTAACAGACTACTCTAACAATAACTTTTGACTGCACACTAAAAGAACCTTGGGATATCAGAAACACAGAGTAGGTAACAATTTATCCACAAAATAAAAGGGAATGCAATATTAAACTGAGGATGGTTGCTCCAGTGTCTTTCCTTTTCCATTTTCTTTTCTGTCTTTTTGAGAGGTGGAAGGTATTTTGTGTTGTTTTAACAATAATTCCAAGAACTGGAATTCCAGAGGCTCCAAAAACAACTGAAGTCATTTGTCTGTCAGGTGCCTTTAAAATGCGAGTCACCTCAGAGGCCTCTGCGCAGGTTTCCAGACTGACCCCTCACTTCCTGATGCCAGTGTCACTGTCAGATTGTGAGCAGAATGCAAAAAACAACAACAAAAAAACTCACACTGCCTTCCTGAATTTATGAATGCTCTTAAAAATACCACTACTGTAGCAAAAAGTACACTTTATGCTTTCCCTGCTGGTCACTGAAATATAATTTCTGGCAATCATATTTGAGGACTCCTGAGCTAAATCTACATGCATGGCTGCTCAGAAGTCCACTAAATGCAATAGTTCCAAGAAAAAGTGAATAAAAGTACAAACATAAGACTGCAATCCTATACATAGTTAGCTGGGAGTAAATCTCATTGAACTTACTGGTGCTTGCTTCTGAGAAGATTTGTATAGGATTGCATTGATAGCCATTAATACTACATGTGAAGAAATATGAACACTTGAAATCATTTTAACTTATTTTAACTATTATTAACATTATATGCACCAGAACATATAAAACGTTTTATACTGAAGATTTCAAAGGATATATAGTTCTATGGTATTTAATTTCTGTCCTATGTAATTTTTATTTAGTCCAATTCAAATGATACTTTTCTGTGAAGTCCCACTGTTTTCAATGCAAAAAACTATACTGCAGCTGCAGCTTTTTAGCCCATTCCTATGATTGTTGACTCGGATGTAAATTCCACTGGGTTCCATAGGGTTTACTCCCAATTATGGTACACAGGCTTGCAGCCTTGCCATATAAGGTACCATGAATGCACTCTTTCAATATACTGTATCATGTAATACTATCATATTCATAGATGTAGGTTTGTTTTGAAAACTAAATACACATAGTGGTTTTAAAAGCTGGAGTTCTGCTGAAAAAAGTACACCTTGCAGTATAATGCAGTACCGTCATATTCATAGATGTAGGTTTGTTTTGGAAACTGAATACTTTACACATACTGGTTTTAAAAGCTGTAGCTCTGCTGAAAAAAGTACATCCTCACACCGTGCATAGTCAAAACTACAGAATTCACTCCCACAGGAGACAGTGATGGCTACCAACTTGGATGGCTTTAAGAGAGGATTAGACAAATTCATGAAGATAGGACTACCAACAGCTACTAGCCACAATGGCCATGTTCCACCTCCACTGTCGGGAGGCAGTATGCCTCTGAATACCAGTGGGTCAGAGTGCTCTTGTGCTCAGGTCCTGCTTGTGTGATTCCCACAGCCATCTGGTTGGCCACTGTGAGAACAAGTTGTTGGGCTAGATGGGCCATTGGCCTGATCCAGCAGCTCTTCTTATGACAGTATAGCAGTTCTGAACGTTAGCCTCTAGTTGGTAAATAAAAGTGTGTTTGGTTTCTCCTTTCTACTTATTTCCCCTGAAAAGCGTGTACTTTTAAACAGTATTAAATCACTTTTCTAAATAAAGCTGCATGCTGTTTGTACAACTGGAGTTTTACAGCTTTATTGTGAAAAACTGATTTCATTCAAGGACACATGTCTGTGCAGATTCTCAGCAACTGGGGTTTCCTTTCTTTCCAAACCAAATATTTTTCAAAATTAAGCGACATATCCAAACTCCAACGTGCATACAAAAAAGACTTTCATTTTCAATAGCAAGGTGGCTTTTTTTTTTTTTACAGGCCAACTTCTACTGTAACCATCTGACCCTTCTATTTGGCGTAATAATATTCTGCATGCGGAGCAGCAAACCCACTCGGTACGCTCCTGGGAAGAGGGGGAATGTTGTGCATGTGATGCTTGTTGCTTTAACAGGCTAACGGAGACGCAGACTTTTATCAGGCCTCTTCCACCATCTGCAGTGTTGCTGTCTCGATATCCCAAAACATAACCTACAAAAGCAAAGGCTGGTACAGCGCGTTTTAGTTTTGACTGCAGCAGAGATAGACGAGCATCATGGAGGGAAGGGGGAGGGCGGCGGCGGCGGCGGCTTATTAACCTCCCCCCCTCCCCGCCATAATGTAGGCAGTCACGATGGAGGGGGCGGCGACACACGGAAGGTGCTCGGGCAGTATTTAAACAAGGACGGGCAGGGCAGCATTTCAACGGGGCAGAGAGAAAGAGAAGGTGAAAGTGGGGAGGGGAAAGGGAGCAGGGGGGGGTCAGGAGAACACGGGCCAGAAAGGGAAAGCAGCCGGTTTCTTATTTTCACCTCTCCCCAATTCCCTCCCTCCCTTGTATTTCATCGTTTATATAGGAACCAGGCCTCCCAGACTAAGGAAGAGAGCGCCCCCCCTCCTCCTCCCTCCCTCGCACCGAGGGCCTCTCCTTTCCTCGTACCTCTCGGGAGGGGAGAGGCCACCCGGCGCCTCCCCGCCCCTGGGCCTGCCCCCGGCGACCAGAAGCGGGGCCCCTGCCGCCCTCCGCCCGCCCCTGGGCACAGACCTCGCTGTTGAAGGCTTTCACGGCCTCCATGTTGTGGCGGAGGGAAGAGGCTGGCGACGAGCTGAGCGGGAGGGGGGACGGCGGCTCTGCTCCCTGCTGTGGCGGCGGCGGCGGCCGGTTTCCTTCAGAGGCCTTCGGGCCTTGTCGCCATGGCGGCGGCGGGGTGGCGGGCGGGCAGTCGGGTAAGGGAAGGGGGCTCCTCCCTTGCTCCGCTGGGCCGCCCCAGGGCAGGCTCCGCTGGCGCTGCAGGGACAAACACGCAATAGCTGCGGCGCGGGCACCAATATGGCGGCCGGGAGGGCTCTTCGCTCGCTCGCTTGCAGCAGCAGCAGCGCAGTTCTCTCTCCGAGAGCAGCCGAGATGCCGGCTAGAGCGGCCCCTAGCGGGCGACCGAAACGCCGGGCAGACAGCCGAGAGGAACGGCGGGACACCAGAGAAAGCAAGAGACGCAGAGCGGCGTCCCGAGTTCCGCCACCCCCCCCCCTTGGCGGACTACAGGCAGCTAGGGTTGAGGACGAGCTCCCCTCGCAGGGAAGTAGGAGGTAGTGCAGCTTGGTGGGCGGCGGCGGCAGAAAAAGAACGCAGCTTTTGGTCAGCTCTGGGCGCAGAGGCGCGCGCAGAATGTCCCTGTGTTGGTTAGCAAGAGATGCGAGGGGACAAGAGAGCTGTCACCGCCAGGCTCGTTGCTGGATCCTGCGCTGTTTTGCTCTCCCACCCACCCTCTCAGAAGTCCCATCGAGCTGAATTCAAGATGGATTCCGCACCCAAGGGGGGAGGAGAGCGTTGCAGACTGAGGCTGCAATCTTGAATGCGCTTACTCGGGAGTAAGGGTCCCTGGAGACAGTGGTATTTGCATAAACACATATAGGATTGCTCTTTCAGCAATATCCCTACCGGATATGCCGTTACAATATAGCTGTTCTAAATCTGCTCTTAACAATGTTTATGAAATAACCATCTTTGCAGTGCCACACATGTATTCTCATGAATTAAGTCCTACAGTGTTTAACGGGACTTACTCCTGGGTAACTGGCACCGTAAATTGGATTTGCAGTCATCGTTAAATTGTAGGTTTGTTTTGAATTTTACAATCTTGAATAGTTACAACAGAAAACTTTAGACACTCTTCTACACAGAGTATTCAGTAAGAACAAAAACACAGGAAGCAACAAAAAATGCATTTTTTAAAACAACCAAAAGGCAGCCATCCTTTTTGTCAAGCTCATTTGCCAAATGATTGGTTGATGTTTTCTCTAAAGAAAAGTCTGTGATTGTGTTACAGCTGGAGGTCTTCCTTGGGTGCTTTGAATGGAAAAAGCCACCAGAACTGGAAGGGAGACCGCCTCCCAAAATACATGTGTTCAAAGGAGCAGCATTTGTGGAGACAGAGTTGGACTAAACTGAACTGCTGTTGGACTCCTAAGGGCACCAAGTACCAGATGCCTGATGTTGGGCTTGTCAGGGGTGTGTTTGCTGCTTGCCTTCCACCTGTTGTGAGCATAAGAACAACACTTACCTCAGACCAATGGCCAGCACTAGTGGCTAACATGGGAAACCCACAAGCCGGACCTGAGTGCCGCAATGGTCTCCCCACATATAATTCCCAGCCACTGGTATTCAGAGGCTTACTGCCTCTGACAGTGGAGGGTACGGCCAAACCCACCATGGCTTGTACCCGCTGATAGCCTTATCCTCCATGAATTTGTCTAAGCCCTTTTTAAAAGCTATCCAAGTTGGTGGCTATCACTGCTTCTTGTTAGAGTGAAATTCATAGCTCAGCTATGTGCTTTGTGAAGGAATAGTTTCCTTTTTTGTTTGTCCTGAATCTCTTCCAACATTCAACTTCCTTGGATGTCCGTGAGTTTTAGCATTATGAGAAAGGGACAATGTGGGCAACTTCTCCCAATCCACATTCTCCAAACCAGGCACAATTTTATGCAACTGTGCTTGTGTGTGCAGATTAAATGATAAAGAGGATAGCAGCTTTCAAGTGCAGCTGGGAAAATACGCTGGATATCCAATTTCTAATATTAATGAGCAATCAATATATACAGAAGTGTGTTCATATAAAAGAATCACTAGAAGATACAGTACCCCGGTACTTAATACCTTATTGGTTAATCCTTTTAATAAGGACCTCAGAATAACAAAGCTACTACATTTTTAATAGCTTAGCCAAGTCATAAATAAAATGTAATAGATAGCATTACAGAAGTTGAAATGTTATTTTTTTAGTCCTTAGTGTTGTTTTTATTAACTGATTTTAGATTTCTGGACTGTAATTATTTTTCTTTGAGTTTTGTAATGGCCAATGCAGCTAAATAACACAAACTGAAAAGTTTACATGATTTTTGGCACATTTGGTGGAATTTTAATTAAAACATTCTGGTGAAAGATGCTTTTTATATAGTTCCATTTACAATTCATACTCAGAATAGCCCACTGAAACCAACAGACATGACTAATGTAGGTCCATTAATTTCAGTGGGTCTGTTCTGAGTTGAACTTAGTTGGATACAACCTCTAATATTTTGGAACTGTTAGTGATACTGCCTGGGCATTTTGAGTACAAAGAAATGATGTGAACCAACATTAAAAGACTAGCAAACAAAGATGTGGAAAATAACTGAAATGTGCACTGTTTGCCATCTAAGAAATAGTAAATGGCAAACAGAACTTTAAAACATTTTGGCTGTATTGAATTCATGATTACATATACTTTAGATTGGATAGGGTTTAAATATCAAGTCTATGTTTGATATGACTATCATTTGTGTACATATTTATTCTATACAGTGGTACCTCGGGTTACATACGCTTCAGGTTACATACGCTTCAGGTTACAGACTCTGCTAACCCAGAAATAGTGCTTCAAGTTAAGAACTTTGCTTCAGGATGAGAACAGAAATCATGCTCCGGCAGCAGCAGGAGGCCCCATTAGCTAAAGTGGTGCTTCAGGTTAAGAACAGTTTCAGGTTAAGAACACACCTCCAGAAGGAATTAAGTACTTAACCCGAGGTACCACTGTATTTTGAATCTGTACATTTGTATTCTTTGGTAATTATTTTTAAAAGAGCAAAGAGAAATGGGAGCAGAACAGTTTGTGTCAACGGGCCAGTTTTCAGTGGTGGCTGGTAACATTTTGACTTGGTAAGGCTGAATCGCTAGCAGTTCTCCTAATATCCAAATTTCACATGTTTTTGTACCCCAGAGGCACATGGGAGGGGCCTTTTTACCATAGCAATACTTTCAGCTTAGGAGCGACTGAGTGCTGCAGAACGTTGATTGGCCAGAGAGCAGGAGATTGACAGAAATGCCTCCAGAGCTTCTCTGAGTTCAAAGGGAAGAATGACATTGTCATTGTATGTGGGACAGGAAAGAGTGTGCTGCTTTGAAATTTGGGAGGTGAAGGGCTTTTTAAAAATGGTTGACATCCTCCTGTGTCGCAGTAGCCCTAGTGCAAGAGCCTTCACTGCCAGCTATAGTGGTCTAGTTATGTAGAAATTCCATTCAGATACATTTTTTGAAATATTTTCTTATTTACAAATTCTGTGTCTGTGTAGGTTGACTGTAAAGATGATGCCAGTCCGGTACACATTTACAACATATCTCAAATTAGCAAGGACCTGGGATCTAAGCAAACATGGATATTTGGCATAGAGTGTTGGGAAGTATCACAGAATCATAGGGCTCACTGTAGTACTGTACAGTATTGAAACAACTGACATGGAGGTGTCCCGCTGGCTCTGTGAGCTGCAGATGAGAAAGTAGTGATAGGAATATTAGAATTCTTAGCTGTTCTTTCATCTGTGTACAGTGGTACCTCCGGTTATGAACTTAATTCATTCCGAAGGTCCATTCTTAAGCCAAAACCGTTCTTAACATGAGGCGCGCTTTCGCTAATGGCGTCTCCCGCGCCTCCAGCTCGCATCCCAGGGCAAAGTTCGCAACCAGGAGCATCTACTTCTGGGTTAGCAGAGCTCATAACCTGAAGCGTTCACAAGGAGGATGGTGCATAACACGGATGTTCCACTGTACATGCTTTTAGACTACTACTATGACGTTTAACTGGTAGGGTGAGTTGTGGGTAAGCTACCAGATGCAACACAGCACAAATGATGGTGTTGACCTGATGAGCTGCTTCCTCAGCTCCACAGCACATAGGATCAGATGTGTACGGTTTTCCATAAGGAAGGAGTTTATATTACTGCCAGCTCAAGACTGGCATAAAATCACCACTCGTGTCCTGGTCCAGCAGCTGCCACCACGATTGCATCATTGGGTATTTCCCCATACATAGCACAGTAGCACAGCTTGTACTGCTGCTGCCTTTTAATAGGAAAAGGGTAGTGGAATAAGCCAAGTATAGGGTGCTTGTATTGCAAAGCGTTTGTTTTAGTAGCTAAAAATAATTCATAGGGTTTTGCTTGCTCCAATAATTGTGGGCCAGAACTGAGAGTGATTCCAACTAATCAGAATGTTTCCATTGTGTTGCCCATTTAATAAGTGGTTTTAGAGCTGTCGTGGTATCAGTGGGACAGGGGCTTTCCAGTTCAAATACTGAGCTCAGCAAAGAGCTCACTAAAGCTGCAATTTTGAGCATACTAGGGAGAAAGCCCTATTGGACACAGTGCAATTTACTTCTGAGTAAGCACAAATATGATTCCATTGTAGGTGCAGCAGGCAGGCTGCTCTCAGTTCTTTCTCCATGTGTGTTAGGGGAAGAAGCCTTAACTGGGTTGTCGAAAGGGTTACTGACAAGATATGCAAAACACTTCAAAGGTGCTTGCAGCAATATAGGAATGTTAAGTGGTTAATTTTAGAATCCTTGCCAGACACCGCTGCAAGAGGTGCTGATGAAGACAATGCAGAAAACAGTCCTAAATGGTTTGTCGTGAGGACAACAGCACCATCTAGTGAGCAGTCCTGTGGGTAACAAGAAGAAAACCTGTACCTGTTTTTAACTCATATTAATTTAAATCCTTCTCAAGGTTAACGGAAGGGCTGCATCCAATGGAATAAGTGACACTCACTAACAACCAAATTCAGAGCCTGACTTTTATGCATAGCCTGACTTTTATGCATTTGTTTACTACATTTCTTTCCTGCCTTTCTTCCCAAAGGACCCCATGTCAGCAAAAAGATCAGCCTTAAAAGAATATGGGGTGTGGAGCATATGTAAAAACAATCATATAAGAGACAGGTTTATGGAATAGAGAACCTGTGCCCATTCAGATGCTGCTGAACTGTCAAATTCCATCACCCAGCCATCCTGCATAACTACTGGTCAGAAATGATGGGAGACAGCAGCTTCTGGGGAACCGCCCCTTCCCCATCTCTGCAATATTTTTTTAACCTGCATGC